GCTAAGAAGTGGTTCACGTTTCGTGCCAGTACGCGTCTCATACAGGAACACCTCGTTTCGCCCGCCGACAGGAGATTCTTACTACCATACCGTCCCATGTGTCAATCAATCAATCAAACGTGTTCGCGTTGAAATCAAATTAGCACAAAAACGAACTCCAAGTCTTCGCATACGTAGTGCTACGCCTGAATGCGTGCGAGTTGGCACCAGCACTTGGTCGTTGGGAGTGAGCTGCGCACGGAGAGATCCATCCCGTGGTGGACCCCACTCGCCGAGGGAAACCAATCCAACAAACGATCTAACGCACCTAGACACCGCGATGATCACAAATTGATATGTATAAAAACTAGGGCTTCGCAGTATGCTTGACGAGCTCGCTGACTATTTCGGCTGCGGACGGGCGATGCATCGCATCACCAGCCATGCACGCCTGCGCCAGCTTACGATACCAGGGAGGGCATGACGCACTCAGCGACGGCCGCAGCGCGCCCGTCACGATCTGAGCGACGCGGCGCTGCAGATTGCTTTTCAAGTCCCAGTACGGCTCGCGGCCCGTCTCGAGCTGCGTCAAGAGCACACCGAGCGAGTAGACATCGGACGCGGTCGAGGGCATATCGTCGTGCAAGATCTCGGGCGCCATCCAGTGCGTCGCGTTGCCGCCGTTGGTCGTCATCATGTCTTCGTCACGGCCGTAGCCAAAGTCGGTGAGCTTGGGTTGGCCGGCCGCATCAAAGAGGACGTTGGAGGGCGTGAGGTTGCCGTGCACCACCTTCTTCGCATGGAGGTAGGCTACCGCCTCGGCGATAGCCCGCGCCGTATCGAGGAAGTCGACGTTGGAGCGCTGCGTGAGCCATGTGTGGAGGTTGCCGCCAGGCATGTAGGCCATGACAAGCACGCAAGGCGAAGCGAGACCCATGATGGCTGTGCTCGAGAGTAACGTGGTGCCGAGCAGAGGCACCGTGTGTGGCGACGCGACGGCCCTCATCACATCCACCATGTCTTTAAAGACGTCGGATTTCATCGATGGAAACGTCTTGAGGACGACGGGGCGAAATGCGAGCGTCGCACGGCCCAGAACGCAGCGCTTGCTGGACGTGAACGGCACGATGTCGCGGAGCAACTCCTCGGGAATCAGTTGCAAGCTGGGTGATGACGCCATGTGGGCCTCGAGGATGCCGACGACATCGACGGCCGATGGACGTTTGTTTGGGTTTGCTTGCATGCAATCCTGCGCCAGCCTCGCGTACCATGGCGGGCACTTGGTGCTCATCGTCGGCCGAAGCCCTTCCTTGGCGATCTTGTCCTGGAGCACGTACCTTCTGAGATTGAGGCCTGCATAGGGCGATTGCAGCGTCTCGAGCTCCGTGAGAATGACGCCGAAGGCGTACATGTCGGCTGCGACCGAGTACCTGCCGCCTTGCATGACCTCGGGTGACATCCACAGCGTCGTGCCGACGCCGTTGGTCATCGATTCCTTCACTTCTTCGCGCGAGATGCCAAAGTCGCCGAGCTTGACGACCGTCTTGTCGGCGCTAAGGAGGACGTTGGCCGGCTTGAGGTCGCGGTGGATGATGCCTTGATCATGTAGGTACGCGAGCCCTTTGCCAATACCGCAAGCGAGGTGCAGCACCTTGCTCACGTCGTGCTCGGGCGCAGCTGCCAGCGACTTGATGTGCTTGTCGAGGTTGCCGCCGTCCATGAACTCCATGACGATCTGCGGCTGGTCGTTTGCGGCGTGTGTGATACCGAGGAGCTGGACGGTGTGCGTCGAGTCGAGGCCGGCCATGACGTTGACTTCCTTCTTGAACATCTCAATTTCGTCGCCGCTCTTGACGTGAAAGGTCTTGATGGCCACCGTCAAGTCCTTGTAGCTGCCACTGTGCACGTTGCCGAAGGCGCCGCTTCCGAGGTGGCGGCACGTGCGTAGCTCGGTCGGCTCGATGCGTGGCACTGTCTCGGGGAGGGCTGCCGCGAGCTGCAGAAACGAGTCACTGAGAGAGCCCATGCGGCGCATCGGAAGCTGGTATGGGGCCCCTTGCGGCGGCATCGGGAGCAGGTACGGGGCCACTTGCCGCGGCATTGCGTAGTCCTGGTCCCTTTGCGAACGAGGCAGGATCTGGCTCGGCTCGGCGGTGCAGTCGATGTGCACGAAAACGCTGCCCGTGGTGGCGTCTTCTACCTTAATGGGCACCCAGAAGTCGACGCGCTTTGGCCGCACGGGCACTGCGACCTCGCAATAGCCGATGAACATTTCGCTGCGGCCCCACTGGCCTTGGTCGAAGACGTCGAGGCGAATCGCGCTGTCGCACGCCGGGTTGATGTTGGCGAAGCGCTTCTTGAGGCCCCAGCGCGGCGCGTTTTTTTGGTTGTGCGCGACGTCGGACGTGACCTTTTTGCCAGCGTAGTAGAGGTTGACGTAGGCATGGTTGACGCTGCGGAACATCTTGTGGCTCTTGAGGTCCTTGGCCTCGGCCACGTGGACGACCACGAGCATCGCGGATGTGGGCGGCGTCCGGGAAGTTGCAAAGTGGCACAAGAAGCATCGACTGCGAGATCGTGTAGCGAATTGTTTCCCAACGTGCACGATGGCAGACGTCTTGTACTCATGCAAGCGAATTCCACGGCCCGAGCACCACCAAAGCGTATCTTTATCCGGATGATTGGCATGTATGCGGACAAATTGCTCATTGATGGCGCGAAAGGCGGTCATATGACACAATCGTGTGCAATGTGGCCAGAGATGGGAAGTGACTGATATCCTGGTACAGTGAAATGCGCGTTCGAGAAAAGACTGATAGAGCTTGCAGTACCGGGCAGCCACGAGTTCCATGCTTGTGGACGTCCATGCAGTCGTCCATATCGCTGCAAGGATCGTGTCTTCGCTACACTAGTCCGTTAGACAAATCCACAAGCTGCCTTGGATGATGGGAGCCAAGGGTTCTTATCGATCTTTCTGCGAGCGATGCATCAAGTCCGACTCGGGACGGTGCAAGTGGCGGTCGACCTCATCGGCGCCAGCGTACGAGTGGCCGGAGAAGCCGACGAAGAGCAAGCTGTTCGGGCTCTTGTACGAGGCTGTGGTGCAAGTGCGCCGCCTTGACGGCAATCGTCCATGGACTTGGCAGCGGTAGGTCGGCGCGAAAGACGCGATCGTTCCGGACTCGCCAGACGTTGAACCAGACGCAGGCGCGGAGCACGGGCCAGAGGTAGCGGAACGCGGCTTGGTGCATGTTGGACCAGCAGCAATACCCTGCGACGCCGTATGAGAAACAAAAGTAGCCGGCAGGCAATGTGCAACGTGCCGTTGCTGATGCCTCCGCCAGTATTTGGGTCCGTCATGACATGATTGAATTGACGCTGGGGGCAGTTTGTGAGCACGGATAACTTGAACTACTACACCAGAATTTTTGAGGAAATCGACTGGCGTCTTTCTTTCTGACAGAGGCGTCGGAAGTCCTGTGCAATTTGACATTCAAAGGTCGTTAGGGTAGGGCTAACGATTCACCAACAACTGACCAATCAGTGACCTATGTCCTCATACGAAGCTTCACTCTCCTATTGCCTCTTGTGGTCTATCTCCTTGTACAAACCAATGAAATCACTTGATCGCGACCAATCGAAAGCACTGGAAACTGGCGCAGACAGCGTTTCCTTTTGTTTGGACTGACAGTATTAAATAATGTCAGTCCAAACGCTGCTTTTTGCAATGGCCATCGCGAGGAGCCGCGCCATCATTCTCTGCAAATCCGATACTTTCGTTTTATAGCCCAAAGGCAACTCAACGCAAGAGACTGCCACCATTGCTTCCCACACACCCGGTATGGACAGCCCGGCACCGTATTTTGCGTGAATTGAATCAAAAATTATATCTAAAAGAGCCACTTACGCATCGATGGATGGTTCGCGCCTTTCGTGGTCTCGTTGTCTTGAGGCATTGTCAATGCGCGTCGGGATTCAGAGTTTTTGTGTCGTTGAGTGGTGTCTCGTCGATACCATTTCCGCACTCGGGCTCAGGTTCCTCCACGGTCGAGCCCTCGGACGCATACCGAGGTGAGAGCTCGGCAGCACGCGGCGTCGCTTCACTGGATGGCTGTTCAAGGCCTTCCTTTGGCGCCAGTGTCAGCGCGCTCCAGTGCTCCAGGTCGCGCTCGACGTCTGCGGCACTCCAGTGCGCCGTCGCGTCCACAAACACGAGGAGCTGCCCAGTCGTAACTTGGTTCCGCGACAGCGGCGTGAGTTCGTGGAACGCCAGTCCGTACCGAGGCATGCGCACTTGAGACGACCCGAGCAGCGATTCACGGGCGCCCCACGAGTCGGCGCAGAATACCTGCAGTTCGATCGTTGGATGTTGCGCGATGTCGACGACGTCCGCGTCGATGCAGAGCTCGACCATCCACCACACTTCACCGGTTCGGTCGCAAACAACGTCCGACGTGGCAGAGTACCCGGCGTAGTGAATCACAGCAAAACGAGTTGTGTCTGCTTCTTGAGGTCGGAACCTCGGAGACCTTGGGCCATCGCGACGCGGATCGTGACCATACTATGGGTGGAATGTCGACAAAGATCGAGTGCCACCGCATCGGTCCTTTCAACGCACAGCGTCTTGAACGAGCGACGAGTTGATAGTCCCAAGCGTACTCGTGTTCTCTGGGTACGTGACAGCAAGACACTGTACAATACAGTGTAGTACTAGGGAAGCTGGTTGATACAACGATGAGATGCTCGTTGAGACTTGATAGACTGGGTAAATTATCAAGTGATGCCCTGCAATACCGCCTTCGCAAATCTTACCAATGCAGCTGCGAGCCCCTACAATGACCGTCGTAATTCGTGGCAGTCTGCCTTTTCGAATCCGGATACAACCAATTATCCTGTGGAGACCGTATCCGGAATGCATCCGGAAAAGACTAGAAACACACCACCATGCTCACAACCCGGCAGCAGCGGATCGCTTGCCGCTGGCGGCCGACCACACACATGAACCGCAGCGCGATGACCGTCGTCTCGACGCCCGAGCTGCTTCGAGCAATCGCTGGCTTCGTCTCTTCCGGCGTCACGCTGCGCAGGCTGCTCGAGGCCATCAACCCCGCGGACCTCGATGCCACATGGCACAACTTCCTTGCCCTCGTTGACGAGTGGTTTGTCCTGCCCGACGACCTTTGGCCCGTCGTACAGTACGACGTTGTGCACAACGAGGTCTTTATCTTTGATGACGTGTGGACCTGTGCCGATGCCCAAGGACTCTGGACGATGGATGTCGACACATATTTTCAGCGCGACGAGAGCATCGACGCGTTGCGCCGCGAGCGCCCGCATGTCCAGGACGGTGCGGCTGTCGGGTGGATGGCGCCAGCGACAATCAACGTCGCTAAAGGCGTCTGGACGAGCTGCACGCTGTATCTGCAGGCCAAGGCCACAGCGCTCGACATCGCTCGCCTCGCGGCTGCCTTGGCGTCGGCGCCAGGGCTGCGCGCCGTCAGCGTCATCACCTCCCAGCTCAAGTACACGATCGAAATGGACCCGCCCGAGTATATCTTTCATGACGATGCATTTCCGTCGTCGCTCGAGCCGGCCGTGTGGCAGGCGTTGCTCCAGTCGCGTGTTGTGGACCTGCGCCTCGTCGGTGGTGGCCTTCTAGCGGCACCCAGCGGCGTCAAGTCCCTCATTCAGTGGCTCTCAACGCGGCCAGCGACGCGCCTGCACTTGTCCGACGTCCACGTTAGCGCCACAGACGCCGCGGCGCTTGCAACAGCGCTGCGCGACTGCAAAACGCTGCGGGAGCTCGAGCTCGGCTGGGACGACAATTTGGTGCCCGCGCTCTTGTCGGAGCCGCTGCCACGTCATTTGCGCCGTCTGCGTCTCTTCAAGAGCGAACCGACAAGCCCGCACTCGCGCAACGTGGCCATGGCCGACCTCGATGCACATGGCAGCTTGGTGGTCAACGCACTTGCCTCGGCGCATTTGACGCACTTTTCGATCGACGCGAGCCATTTGGATTTGGTCGACACGACAACCATCGTCGTCGCTGCACTTGAGCTGCCGCGGCTCTCGCACCTCCATATCTCGGAGGCCCCGCGCGGTCTCTCAACCTGCATCACGTCGGTTGAACGCGGTCCACGACTCGAGAGCTTTCACCTTCAGGAGACAGTGGAGATGTTTAGTGGCGGTAGCGACTACTAGTTCCATGTAGTACATCACGAGAAATTTCGTTTTGTTGATGGAAACGTTTCGAGCTGACGGGTCCAGCATGGGATGTTGTTACCCCGGCGCACGACCAAGCTTCCTTGGCATGTCAGGGACCACGTCCAGGCGACATACACGGTGCCGCTACTTGGTGTGCCCTCGGCGCCGGCCCTTGACTTGGCTGAGATGCAATACAACCTCCGCACGTGGCTCCAACAAAGCGGTCCTCCGTGTGAGCGAGAGCATTGCAATCTATCACGGTCTAGCAAAGCGTTGCCTTGAGGTCCCGCGATGTCGCGCCGAGTCCATCAATACCAAACGCACTGGCTACGCTCGCACAGTGCCCCCTACCGTGCTATCGACATGCCTCGCACAAGCGTTCGAGACGTGCGGTCGGACGAGCTCGGTCGTTGAGCAAAACAACGCCATGAAGTCGTACGAACGAAAACACTCCTTTAGCGTCCCGGAAAATCGAGTTACGTGTTCGAGTGAGACCAATCTACTCGCAGCCCGACCCGCCCGCGAGCAAGAGACATGACGTCGACGGGTACATTGAGAGGACGCTGCCCGTGACGGCAGTGACAAACATGACGGCAATGAAGATGCACACGGCGGTCGCAACCCTTGGGTACGATCCTGCGTCGCGCTGGAGCTGGTGCAACTCGGCCTTTTGCGGTGGCAGCAGCACGACCGTGACGCACGACAAGAGCATCGCCGCGTAGTAAACCAGGTACGAGTATGCGACTTGGTACCGCGTGGCCATCGAGTCCGCGGTGATCGAGGTCGCATCCACCTCGAAGGATGCGTAGAGCATGTTGGCGAGCACCGGGCCGACCGTGCTCGGGAGGTTGAACGTCGTCATGAAGAGGCCGACCATCATGCCTTCGTTGCCGACTCCGGCGACTTCGGCGATCAAAAACGTCGTCACGATGTACTGGATGCCCAGGGGCACCGACTCGACGAGCGGAGCGCCGAGGTAAAAGTACGGCGACCGCCACACGTTGAAGATGGTGCAGAATTGCACGACCGAGTCGATGGCAACCACCGAGAGCGTGGTCGAGACGACGACGACGCGCCAGTTCCAGTGCGTCCCGTACTTGCCAATGATCGCGACAACCATACTGAGGATGCCGGCGTACGCCATGGCCTGGATCTGGCTCTGGAGATTCGTGACGTTGGCCCACACCATCATGACATACGGGCCGGCAGTCGTCGTGAGGCTGTAGCCGCCGAGGAGCTGCGAGAAAAAGATGAAGAGGACGAGCTGCCACGTCGCACGCCGCTGAATCGTCGTCCACGTCTGCTGGACGTACGACCGCAGGTCCAACGGCGGCATCTTGGTGTCGAGAATAAACAAGTAGGCCACTGGTGGCATGAGGACGCACGGTGCGCAGAAAACAAGAAAGATCGTGTTGACGCCAAAGTCCCAGTCAAAGCTGCCAGCGAACCGCGGTGAGTTCATGCACACGCCCACAATCACCATGGAAATTGTACAGCACGCCGTACGGACGGCGTACGCCAGCGACTGGATGCGGCCGCGCACCGATACGGGCTCGCGCTGCGCGTACTCGATGACGAGCCCGTCGGCGGCCGAGTCGGTCACGACGTAGAACGCCGTCGCCAGGCCCAGAAGAATCGCGAGCGTGCCTCCCGTCGTCGGCGCTGACTCGTTGATTTGGGCAAGGTCGGCGGCCGTGAGGTTCTCAGGAGGAATGTCCATGAGCGCTGGGTCTCCGTAGTACGGACGCCCGAGGTCCATGCAGACGATGCCAAGCATGACCGCAAGGCAGCAAAGCCACCCGAGGATGATCCATGACTTGCGACGGTAGCCGCAGATCGGAACGCAATCGGTGACGAGGCCAAAGAAGACCTTGCACGTCCATCCGAGGCCCATGAGCGTCTTGACCGAGTTGGATTGCGCGCCGGTCATGTGGAAGTAGCCCGTGAAGAGCGGGTAGCTAATGCTACTGAAGCCGCCCAAGAGAATGCCAGCGCAGCCGTACTGGACAAGAAGGGCGAGTACCTCACGACTCGTGTAGACGGGGGAGCTCCTGCGCGGAGTGCACCGCCTTCCAAGTCGGTCTTGGGGGTCGCGACGTCGACGTACAGGTCACTGTTGAGCTTGTCGATCGACGCGGTCGAATAGCGCAGTGCGACGTCGGAAGCGCGCTGCATACGAGTGCACTGGTGGAAAATGTGAAGTGGACACTCGAGCCCGACGCGAATCCTGGACGGACACTATACAATTGTACTACATACAACTTGAGGAGAGTTTGTCTCAAACACACTGGTAGCTTCGATCGTGATCGAAACTAATCTCTATACGAGTATGTAATGCTTGACAGTAGCGCCAACAAGATGTGCATTTTAAAACAGATATCGAGTGTACTTTGTCGAGGTGAACAAAGGCGCAATGTTCTTGTATTTCGTAAGGAGCAATGCTAGTTCTTGTCCAATATAGACTACTACATTGTATAAGAGCTAGTGTCCTACTACACTCGTTCTTATCCTACTAGAAACTGTTCTCGTGTCCACACGATGCATTGAATGCACATCGAGCGATTTTGGACCGTATGGTGCACCGGAACGTTTCAGAACTACTAGTACATGTAAAGTAGCTGGGTACAGCGGCGTGGGATTGGGCCGTGGCACGGCCTTTTGACATGCATGACGTGTGCACGGATACAGATGGAGGGCGCGTTAATGATCTGCAAAACGGATGGCCAACGACGCTCCTACAACTTGCAGGATATCAACGCTTCAACATTGTACAAGCCTACACAGAGCGTATCAAACATGCATTTCAGGATCCAAATACAACGCTACCATCGATGCAGCGTGTGTCTACCAGTGTCTTCAACCGAGTCAGCCAAAATGTGTACTAGCACTGTACTTTGCTGCTAGTGCAGCGACTAGATCTCGACCGAGCTCCTCTTTTCCTATTTCAAAGAAAGTCTTCTATATTAGAAAGCAGTGTCGCAACGACTTGTGTAGCCGTCGGGCGGTGCGACTGGTCGTGGGCCATGCAATCGAGCGCGAGTTGGCTGTACCACCGAGGACACGAGCTAGAAAACGACGGGCGCAGGTTGCCGGCCACGATTTGCATGAGGCGGCAAGAAGCATTCTCGGTGATGCTGCCATACAGCTCTTGCCGTGTTTCGAGAAGGGCGAAAAGCAGACCCAGTCCAAAAACATCTGCCGCGACAGAGGCGGCCTCGCCTTGAAGCCTCTCTGGCGCCGTCCAAAAACCCCGCAGCGTCATCGTCGATCGTACTCGACACAAGGGCGTCCTGGTCCACGCCAAAGTCGCTGAGCCGGACCCCGTCGTCAGCATCCAAAAGAACGTTGGTTGGCACAAGGTGCCCGTGGACGACACCGGCATTGTGGAGGAAGGCTATGGCCTCTGCAAGTCGGAGCGCCACCAGGAGTGTCCGCCTCCACCCAATCGGTCTGTCGTCTTGGAGCCACGTGCGGAGGTTGAACGGCATGTAGCGCATGACGAGAGCGGGCGCCGAGGTCACACCGAGCAGCGGCACGGCGTGCGCCGACTGCAGCGCCGCCATGCGCTCGACAATTTCGTTCAACTGACGCGGTGTCCGTTGAAGAAAGTACTTGATCGCCACCGGCGACTCGTTGTGGGATCCGTGAACCACAATGCTGGATCGACTGGACGCAACGAGCGCGTGTTCCACCAACTCATTGTCATCAATCCACCGCAGGCTGGTCGAAAGACGGGCTTGAAGACGCGCGACAATCCCATCCGCTGTGGGCCGCACGTCGGGCTCGGTGTGCACGCAGGCCGCGACAAGGTCTGCATACCACTGCGGGCACGTCGAGGGCATCGCAGGGCGAAGCCCTTCGTGGGCAATTCGAAACGGTAGGAGGTAGCGGCTGCACGGCTCGAAAGCGTAGGGCTGGGTCTCAAGCGAGCTCAGCTGCGCAAGAACGACGCCGAATGAATAGATATCGGCAGCAGCCGCGTAGTCGTGGTCGAGCATCACTTCAGGGGCGACCCAGCTCGGCGACCACAGCGGCGTGTCGTCATCGTTGGCGTGCTGAGCCCCGCAGAGCTTGACCCGAGTTTTGTCTGCGCTGAGAAGCACGTTGGTGGGCGTGAGGTTGCCGTGGAGACGTGTGTGTGCGTGCAGATGCGCGAGACTCTGCGCGATCTCGAGCGCGAGTGGAAGCAGGCGCGTGACGTTGGGGGTCTCGTCACGGGACGCGTGTAGCTGCCGGATGTACTCATCAAGGGTACCGCCTTCCATGAGCTCCATGATGATGCATGGCTGGCCGTACGTGTCGACGGAGATGCCCACGAGTTGAGGTGTATACAGCGACTCGAGCTCATGCATCCGCTGGACTTGCGCCTGAAACACGGCGTGGGTGGTTGCATGGAATGTCTTGACGGCGACGCGGACGTTGTCGAGCTCGGCCGCGTACACGCTGCCGCGAGCGCCAGCCCCGATGCATTCTTTGAGGTGGAGTGCAGTGAATGGGATGCGACGAACGTTTCCGGACAGATTCAACGCCCTCTCTCGGCTCGTCTCGGCGGCAAGAAGAGCTCTGCCCACAAGGTAGAGCCCCGAGTCGGTCAATGAGGCCGACGCGGTCAGTGAAGGCGTGGTCTGTGATGGCGCCTCGGGCGTCTTGGTGCTGTCGAAGAAGACAATCAGCTCGCCAGTTGTGACGCCGTCCATGGCAATGGGCACGACTTGCTCGAACGGTGACGCACGCAGTGCTGGCATCGCGATCCGACAGCTGCCGATGCAATCGTCGACCGCATTGAAGTGGTCTTCATAGATGTTGAGCTCGACGATGGCGTCGCTGTCAAGAAACATATTCGCGGTGCTTAGCTCGGCGTCCCACCACACTTCACTGTCTTGGTATGAGGACGCAGCCGACTTGGTTGTTGCGCCAGCATATGTGATCGAAATGAACGGCCTTGTGACGGGGCAGAGCGCGGGGTCGTGCCGACAAAGGCGATTGCCCATGGGTACTCGAATGGTCATCATGCGGTTCGCACGTAATTCAAAAGTGCGGGATGTTCTGTCTACTGTCGGGTAGCCAAGTTGATATAAAGTAGAGCATCGAAAATGTATCATCCAAGTATCAAGTGGCTGGCCTCGCGACATGAAAGTATCAAGCCACAATGCACTTTTTTGATTGATGTTGCAGTTGAGACACCAGGTGTACCCAGTGTTTTAAGCTCAAAAAGTCGACTTTCCACGAAGCTTTGCGCGTCACTTATAGCCAACCTCATCGTCCTGCAACACAAAACTTGGCAGCACCAACCTTACCGGTATTGTCGGGCTTTTCTGCGACGTCCCACGAGTTAGAATCGGATCCATCCATGTTCAAATTAAGCAAAGAGGGACACGACGGCGACGAACGTGACCACAAACATGGCGTAGAGAAACCCGGTAGAGAACGCGAGCGAGCTCAAGACGGGAGCTGTAAATGGCGTCTTCTCGGCCTCGGTGTTGCCGTAGACGCGGCGGCAGTACTTGACGCTGACGACTTGAAACCAGGACGGAATGATCAGGCCAATGGCGAAGCCGAGGATACCGGCATATGTAAAGATCGCATCGAGCTTCTTGAAGATCGTCGCCAGCAAGAGCGGTGGCGTGACCGCTAGGACGCGCGAAAAATCCTGGGTTCGGCGCGGGCCGAGCGGCGCCGTGATGGCTTTGGGCAGCGACGGCAGAATGTTGCCGGCGACCGTGAGTCCAATCATCGGGAACGACGACGCGACGTTCATGACGGGGAACATGACGACAATGATGTGGACGACCGAGCCGTACCACGTCGGGCGACCCGATGCGCAGACGGACCAGCCGTTGCCACAGCCCGAAAAGTCCGTCCACATCAAGGTCGCGAGCGGGTTGACATTGTCGAACGCGATCGAGCCGAGGAAACCGAGCATGAAATAGCAAAACGCCGAGATCGAAATCGAGGTGTACGTGATGCGGCGCACGAGGCCCTTCTTGGAAAACTCGAGCGGCTGGAGCAAGTCGGGCATGTTGTACTGGCAGTTGAGTGCCAGCAGCGTCGGGCCAAAGCCCGCACCAAAGTTGCGCAGGTTGAACGCCCAGTGCTCGCGCGCCGCGAGGCGGTCCGACACCGCACTCGCGCCGTCGACACTGAGCTTGAAGGCCATTGTGACAAACATGATGCCAAACGCGATGATGCGGTACGCCGATAAGAACTTTTGAATGACCGCTTGGTCCCCGAGGTCCATGAGCACGAGCGTGATGGTCATGACGGTGAAGAGGAGCATGCAGATGTAGTACGCTTCCATGCACCCGATCGACGTGTGCGGCGCGTACACATCGCAGACGTCGTCGAGGACGTACGTGAAGAAGACGGACGCGGTCGACGAGGCAAAGATGCTCGCGTACGACCAGAGCGACCCGAGGCAGTAGCACACGAGCACCGACTGCACGGTCACGTACCCGCGCTTGCCATCAAAGATCTCGCCGATGCGCGAGAAGCCGTACTTGTTGAACGTGAGGCGGTTCAGCGGCAGCGCACCGGGCGCCGCCGTCGCTACACCATCCGCGCGGGCCATCGCCTCGAGCGTGTAGTTTTGCGTGATGAGCGCGCCCATGTAGCCGACGATCACAAAGAGTGACGTGAGCCCAATGCCGGCGATCGAGAAGGCGTACGGCAGCCCAAAGCAGCCCGTGCCAATCATGTAGTTGAGCGCCATGGCGACCGTGAGCACGGGGCCGAACGTCTTGACGCCCATGGCTTCTGCGTCCGTCGAGTCGACGGACGAGAGCCCGGTCTTGACCAGCGGGGCTTCCATGGCAGGCGGCAACTGTCGAAATGAAGCCAAGATCGCCACGCCCGAGGAGTTGACACCCAACGCGCCTTTTTTGTAGAGTGGGCCAACGTAGAAAATCTGCATCGTCGCACGTCACCGAGGCGAGCGACGACCACGGTCATGTAATGCTATGCCCCAGCCGCTGGAAGCCCCTGGCTGCAAAGATACTGCGCCGCGTCGTCCATCCTACGGCGACGACGGGCGTGGACCCCACGCGACAGTACGTGGGACAAAAGATACGACGCCAGTTGAAGCAAAGGTGGGTCACGTGCGATGCCCTTGCACGCGTGTTGGCGCCGCGCAGGCATCAGCTAAAGAGGCGTGTTTTTAGTCGACTGAGCGGGATCGGTGGCCAGCGTCGTAGTGCTTGCACGCGATAGGATGCACCTATGCGACGAACGATCCATCTTCAAGCATGCTTCGCAGTAGCGATCGTGGCGCATTGCTTTCTTCAGGTCCAATGCGAGTGGGTGCGCAATGGTTGGCCATCAAGCCTATGGCTATTCGCACCCGTCAGAGCAAGCGACCACCCAACGATCTGCCATGACACCAAAGGGTAGGTGTAGTGCATCTCTTGGCGAACGTGCGGAAGATACGATGCGTCGCAGCCACACCACGTTTTGTATCTCGGCTCGGGGCCGCCACATCGAACCCTGGATCCGGTCCATGTTTTGGATCCGGACCGTGTTCGGTGAAGATGGCAGTGGTCCGTTATAGACCCTTGGTTGTGGTGATCGACGGAATATATATTCCTGGTGATGTAGGCATGCGTATCTATCTATCTATCTATCTATCTATCTATCTACTAGTATCTATCTCGTCTCCAATTCGCCTATTTATCGATCGCCACCATTGACGTCGCTTCAGTCTTTGATCGAGCTCCGCGGCGCGTTACACTTAGACATCAAACGCTCGGACAAGTACGGAACCACGGGACGAACGCTGTGACCACCTGTGTACATTCTTGACGTGCTTTTTGTTGCATGCAGCTCTCGCAGTACAGAAGAGTCGTTGCAACGGCCTGCATATATTGTTAGTGTTTCAGTGGTACGACGATCTCGACTTGGCGAGAAAGCGGTGCTGAATGCTCGCCTGGGTTTCATGCTCGGCCGCCACGAGGCGCGTCGCCCGCAGCGCGAGCTGCTGGAAGCGCCGGCGTCGGGGCGACTGCAACGCGGTCACCGCTGCCTCTTTGACACTTGCAGCTGCGTGTTTCGCGCGCCAGTTGCGCATGACGCTCTGAATACGCAGCGCCGCGGCGTCGTGCTTGAGGCACTCGACTGTCGCGTGGGCCAGCAGCGCCGTGCTCCGCAGCAGCGGAATCTCGCAGCGCACGTGCTTGGCGAGTCGCTGGAGAAAGCTCACGACACCCGTCGCGACCAAGTGCTCTCTTGCTTGCTCCAAGCGCGAGAGCGCGGCAAACGCCCGCGCGCCTTCGTACCTATTGTTGAAACATTGAAAAATGCAGCGATGCCGAAGATCGATCCGTGTACCGAACGTCGTCGTCGCGGCACGACGGCGCAATGCATTTCAGTAGAAAAAGCTGCAAGCGGGGTTCCAAGAGCTTGGGCACGTTGTCGGGCTTGGTTGCGAGGTCGGCAAGTAGCTTGGCGCAGCTCCCGAGCACGAGTTTGTGGCGTGCAATGGCAAGAATGGCTTCGAGAACCGGTGGTTTACAGAGCAAGAGACGTACGTTGTCGCTCTCCGAGAGGTGCGAGAGCGCTTGCAGGACGAGCTCCTTGGCATGGATCGCTTCGTCGTCGCCCTCGCGCCACGCGTCCTTCGGGCCCGGCGTCGGGCGACTCAGGATCGCAAAGGCGCAATGGAGGTACCCCCGGGCAATGAGCTCCAAATGACACGCATGACTACTGGCATTTCGATCGGGTGTGTCGTATGGCCGCTTCGGCAAGGGCACCCGCTTCGCCAGCAGCACAAGAATGCCAATGCTGTGGTTGCGCACGCTCCGCTCGGGGGCCATGAAGAGCTTGTACTGCGAGATGCGGTCGACGATCCCGACATCCGTCGCAACGGCGTGGGCTTCCTCCCGCTTCAGAAGTTGCAGAAGAATGCCAAGCGCTTTGCTCATGCCCGGCCGGTACAGCGCATTCGACTCGTCGGTCGCAAAGCCGACCGTCACGAGCGTCGGGATGACGTCGTGCTGCACAAGCGGCAGCGCCAAACGAGGGTCGGCGCTGAACTGTTCGAGGATCGAGAGCACGACCAGCGAGAGCTCCAGACTCTTTGCTGTCGTGAGGATGAAGAGAAGCACCGGGACGATGCGGCATTCCAACAGCCGACGCGCTGCGTGTCGCTCGGTGCTGAGCGCCAAAATGCAGTCAAGGAGCTCTTTTCGAAAGCCAGCATCGACCTCGAGGTACGGGTCCTGGAAGAGGGCGCAGAGCTGCGGGATCGCATCGTCTTCGGCAATTTTTGCCTTGTTGTCTTCTGCCGTCGCAAGCCGCAGGAGCAAACTGGCTGCCGTGCGCTTGAGCTGCCGATCTTTGCGACACGTGAGGGCTTGCACGAAATGCAGCAGAGTGAGAAAGCCGCCGTGGGCGACAAGCTGGGCAGATGCGTCGGGCACTTCAAGAAGGTGTGCCACGAGCTTGAGCGCTGCGCGCTTGACGCGGACGTCGGCGATGCGGAGGATGGAAAACACCGTCGTGATGCCCGTGGGTGCAGAGAGCAGCTTGTGCTGCATGCTCGGTAGTTGCACCTACGCAGAGACGGTTCGATGATACACATAGAGACTGTGCAGGTTGGTCGTACAAGCTCGGCGAGCGTGTCGGTGGCGTCGCGCAAAATGGCAAGGTCCATCGTCGCTTTCGTGTTTGCAATGAGCGAGAGCGCGGCACCGAGCGCACCGGCTTGGGCCATCACTTCAAGGTTGGCCGCTACTCAAAACAGCATTTAATCCATGAATATCAATGGAAAATCCATATAAAAGGCCACCATTTTTGCTCAAGGTGCAAAATGCAGCCGCCGCGTCGCGCCGGACGTCGGGAAAACTCGACCAGTACGCAATGTCGATCAGCGGCCGCAGTCCGTCAAAGTCAATGTCAGCGTGGAAGATCGTTTGGCCTGGGGTGTGCTTGGCGAGCCGCTGGATCCGGGATCGGTCCGGCGTCTGGGGGTCTTCGCCATGCTTTGGGCGCGGAATCGACATCTCGACCGCGTGCTTGCTGACAACAATGGTCGGTTTTCGGAACGCACTTTTGGGCGACAGGCAGTGTGGGAGCTGCGCCATGTGGCGATGGCTTTTGGACAACGTCGTTGGCATCGACGGTGGCGCTGGTCGGGTGTACGCTGGCAGCGCCGCCCGCGCCGCCTTGAGCGCATGGTGCGCCGTCTTGGGCCGAGGTTTGCTGCCACCTGGCATGTCCGTCGTGGGCGCTGTCCGTGTAGACGCAATCATTGGAAAATGCCCTAAAAATAGGGGATAATTCGACTCGGCGCAGGGCAGAATGGCTTGTCATTTGCTTTTTTCTGTTGCGGCGTTGACATGCTATGGAATGCAGTTATCGTACTCTCAAGTATGGACGCATCCTGCGGGCGAGGAAATGACTACTAGTACTCGGATAACGCAGGACATTACTTGATTGGACTAGAGTATGTCCAGCTACGTGCGCTTTTGTAGCACGAGGAAATTCGTGACGTCAAAGTAGCCCAAATACTGTTCTTGGAGCACGAGTCGAAACTCGCCAAAGAAAGGGTACCCGGTCGCTGGATCAAACCCCGCCGCGCAGCCCCCGACGGGGGGACCCCCCAGTAATGGTTGGCATCGTTGTAGATCCGCGCGCCAATGACGCCGTCGCTGAGCGAGATATCAAAGGTCGCGTTTTGTCCAGGCAGCAACACCGGGTTCTGGATTTGCTGCAGGTACTGACCGCGGTCGTCGGAGCCAAAGATGACGGCCATGGCCGTCGAGACGCCGACTTGAATCTCGTACTGGGCTGCGCTCGACGAGACCTAACCCCAGCACTCTCACATTGCGTTCAAAATTCGATATCGAATAGATACCATGGGGGACGCAATGTACTCGGGGGCAAAGCACTGCAGGGACGCAATGTGCGTCGTCGATTGGCCAAACAGGCCATAATTGAAGTAGTTTTTTGTGCCCGCGGGTTTGCCGCCATTGAACATTTCGAAAATGTCGTATTCACCACAATTGGGCCAGCGCGGATCCCCAAATTGGTGCGTGAGCAGCGTCGGCAAGAGCCAAATGTTGGTGTTGGACTGCGCGTACGTCGTCCACTCAATGTACAAGATCTTTTCGCCCGACCAGCCGCGGATCGTGCGCAGAACGGGCGACGCCGCATACGGTTCGCCAAAGGTTGAGACGGAGATTTTGGTGCCGTCGAACGCGCTCGAGGCAAAGTCAATCGACGCGCCCGTGTCGCCGCTCCAGTTGTTGGGATCCCGCCACGCAAAGCCACTGTCTTGGTACGTCCGAAGAGGCATGGCTACGCACCACATCATCATGACAAGTCAAAGAAGATCTTGTACGTACAGGTTGGAGCTGGATTCGTTGAAACCGGGGTCCGGTCTGGCACTTGAGTAGCGTTGGGTTGCGTGTCATTGGTCTCTGTCAACACGGGTGGCGTCGTCATCGGAACGGGTGGCAGGCGGTGACGTCGCTGGAACAGTGGCAGGCGGTGACGTTACTGTTGACTTGGTGACGTCTGGCGTCACTTTGTTCTATGGTCCAGCTTTAGTAGTCCACACAGATATATGTTGCTCAGCTTGGTACATTGCTCGTCGTCGACGGCTGAAACCCTGGGTTGGATGCAGCCGCCGACACTTGCTGCGTCAGCACTGCCGCAACGACGACGCAGACAAGAACAAACGCCATGCCTGCAACAACGAAGAGAAGGCGACGGCGCGGTGGTGGGTCCCTCTCGTGGGGGCAGCTGGCGCTCAGCTCGTTGAAGACGACGATCGCACTCGTGTCGGGCGTCGCGACCTCGGTCATTGAAGCCGATCACCAAAATAGACAGGCTGCGGTTTTAGAACGCTTCCGACGCTTGTCTCGGTTGCAATCATACACTGTTTGACGCGAGGCATACAGCATATCGTGGATCGATTACAGAGTCTCGTCGCCATAGACGCGGCAATGGTACAGAAGGACACGGCCATAGAAGTCAGAGCTCCGGTCAAACTGCAGTCGCAGCTGCGTCACGTCTGCGCAGTCCAGCTCCAATGTTTGTAGCTCGTTGCTGTCGTTAAAATGGCACTCGGTCGCGACGTGCAGCTCGGGCGTCGCCTGCGTTGCGATGAGCACTCTCGCATCCTCGCCCACAAAGCCGCCTTGGAACATGAGCTCCATGCGCTTTACATGCACGACGCTACAGAATGCATTCTATCCGAATGGTTCATCAAGTCATCGCTTACCGGTGGAAGAGCAGACAGACTTGCTGGCCGTGGCCTTGCGCCGAGTTCCAGCAGGTATCGTCGACGCCGTCAAACATGTTCTATACATCAGTCTTCAATGCAATAGACAATATGTCCACACGCAGTACCTGGGCGCCGTACTGCGTGCGGTCCTTGTTCAGCACGGACGAGACGCGGCACGTCGTCGGCGTCGCTGGCCCGACCAAGAGCGTCATCGGCGGCATTCTTAAATGTGATTGGCTGACGCGATTCAAAATGGCATATGCCGCTTACAACCACATTTTGAGCCGGCGATGAATGGCATCTTCGCCATATTTAGATCGCAAGACCAGAAATAACCATAAATAAATCAGACTGGGATCTTAGGTTCGGTGCAAGGTCGCCGAGAAGGCGCCAAGAGAGGATTGACAATAACACACAACAGCAACCGAGCGAGCGACTGGTAGAATGTCTTTGAGTGTCAAGGAGCGAAAACGTATGGGCCTAACCGGGGAGCATACTGGCGAAATGCAACGGGTGAAACACCCAAACTCCAAGATTTCGAATATGGTGGTGCGCGTCGAGGCCTATCTCGCGTCGACAGACGATGTAGCCGACCTTGGCTTGCCGTCACCGCCCAAGCTTCGCGTATTTGGGGAGCCACTAGCCTCGCCACCGAGCCGCCACGTCATCTCGCGCACGAGCTACCAGTTGCTCTGGTGGGGCCATCTCGTCTCGCAGGGCCTCATTCTATACGTGCTCTTGCTTCGCGTCCAAGCGGCCTTGGCGACAACCGCATGCGAAGCGAGCGTTTTGAATTTGCTCCTGCTTGGCGGCGCGATGTGCCTCTCTACATTGGACATGAGCGCCCTCGTCGTGGCGTCGCTGGCTGCCAAGCGCCTCCGCTTTACTCGTCCGCGGCTCGCTTGCGAGGCGTCGCTAGCGACGTGGTCTGCAGAGCCGCCGGCCATCCATCTTGTCGGCGGTGGCGCACTTGTTCTCTGGCTGGCGCAACTCTACGACGCGAGTTACTTTAGCTGTAGCCATACCGTCAGCTACGTAGTCCTTGGGCTTTGGTGTTTAGTATCGTGCGGCACCGTGCACTTGGGGAGTATCGGTCGCGCTACATGGCTTTGGTGTCTGCAAACAATGACGCTGCTCCTTCTCGGCTTATGGACGCCGTCAGCGCCACCGACCGTTTGGGGTCCATCGCTCACCGCCGCCTACCACCAGTCTCTCCAAGCAGGCATCTTTGCTGTCCAGTCCATTCTCACAACATGGGTTCTTTGGCTCCTGCCGCAACTCGTGCAACCGTCGAGACTCGTGTCGTCACCTCTCAAGGTGCGCCAGTGGACCTCCCGCCCTCCTTCCGCCGCAGCATCCACGACGCCTGCTCTGCACAAGGCCAAGCCTACGTGGCCGCGGCTGGTTCGCTGGACGACACGCAGTCAAGTGCTCCTCGTGCTTGCTGCTGTGGCGTGGGAAGGCTTCTGCGTAGCCGTGCGACGAACGCTGCCTGGCTGCGACATGTCGCGTGCTCAGCTCTTCACGCTCGCGCCGTCTTGCCTTGTCTACACCAGTCGCGATTGCAAATCCGTGCCAATGCTACCACGCCTCATGGCCCTTCGCCTTCTCGACTGCACGTACACGGCGCTTCCAGCACTAGAGATGCTCGCTTTGGAATTGATCAACTGCACAACCACCAACACCACGTGGGACTTCTTGCCGACGACGACCGCGTTTGTTGTGCTACGCAACGTGACGCTTCACGACGCGATGTTTCCGAGTGCGCTACTGAGCAAGCCGCACGTCCATATGGAAAGCAGCATGGTGACGCAGTGGCCGCTCAACGTCATCACCAGTGCGCTGAAAACGCTTGTTGTGGCCAACACGCAGCTGCCTTTTCCGCCGACGCACATTCGCTTGCCGAACCTCGTCGCCTTGCACTTTACCAACAACAACGCTTCGGTCATAGAGGCGGTGCAAGAGGACAACGCCTTGCGGCTCCTCAATGTATCCCACAACCCCTTGACGCACTTGCCGCCATCGGTGTGGCAGCTCCCACACGTGCACACGGTCGATGTACGGATGACGCAGATGTCGTCGGTGCCGGCACGACTCTCGCCGTCGCTGCGGATCATTTTCGCGACGATGTCGCCGCTGTGTGCGGCAATTGAAGCCTTTTATGGGTCCCTCGACCCGATGCACTTGGGTATTTCGTTTGCCCGCTCCGACGCCAGCTTGATCCAATGTCGTCATGACGCGTAAGACGTAACAAAGCATGTTTTATCGCAAAAGGCCGACGCACGAGAGCTAGGGCTGGGGGAAGGACGAGGGGTAGGGTTCTACGCCAAGCATGCGCGCGCCGCAGCCCCGATCGCGATCGTGTTGTGCAGCAGGTACGCTTCGTTGTTGGCCTCGACTTGCTCCAGATCGTACTTGTAGTTGACCATGAGGCCCGCGCTCTGCGCCAGTCCCTAGTACCGCATGTCATTTTTGAAAGGATTTTTAAAACCATCCATCATCATTACCTTGGGCGACGGATCGCCGAGCCAGTTGAGCCGCTCCAAGATGGCTCCGTTGCGCAAATGAAAGTTGGCGACGGGGCAAAGGGCCTTCCCGCGCTTCTTCTCGAGGTAGAGGTACTGGGCGCCAAGACGCAGCAAGATCGGGCGAAGAAGCGTTGTCAGCGCCGCGTCTTCGTGCCATTGCGGCACCGAGAGAGCAGCCAAGACGGACGTAAAGCCGTGGGCAGCCAACGCACTTGCCTCGGCCGGCTGAACTGCGCTCGCATCCTACGTCGTTCGTTGTTGAATCATTTCTGGAAACAGCGAAAAATACCGTAATTTCAAGCCACTTGACGAAACCAGGGATCGGACTCAGCGTCGAGTAGAGCGATACATTGGGGAGTTCTTCCTGCAAGCGCTTGGCGACCTGCTTGATGAGGTAGTTGCCCAAGTCGACGCCCTAGACACTATTTTCAGTCACCTTTGAACTATCAAAGTATCAACCTGAAGCCCGGGCTGCGTCGATGAGATCGAGTAAAAGATCGCAGCGTGCGCGTCATGCTCGTGCTCGAGGACCTCGGTCGCGTCCTTGATGTAGCCCATGCCCGTCGCCATCTCGGGCACGAGTGCCACATGCACAAACACCAATGGTTCGTCCGGCACACTAGTTTCCACAACACGTAGTTAGTCGAAAGATACGACTAAAACGCATACCTCGGGTGGAAAAACGCGTAGCAACGCCGGCCGCGCCCAAGGCGGCGCTTGAGCTCGATGATCGTGCCCACGGGATGAACGGCTTCGTAGCGAATGATCTTTTCGAGGAGCGCGCCGGGCGAGTGTTCGTACGTCACACGCTCGAGCGAGAGAAAGCCAACCGCGAACCACGCTGCGAGGAACGTTTGCAGCTGACTGTCGAGCGCGCGGAGGGCGACGAGATCGTTCTTTGCCGACGTCGTGTGCGTCTTGGCGAGCGTCTGGCGCACGTCGGCGCGGAGCTGCACGAGAAAGAGCATGCCGCTCGGAAGCTGGCTCAAAATTTGGTGAAAAAGCAGCTAGGTATCAAGTTGATACACCGCCATCCTGCCTCGACCCACGCACCTCGTGCAGCGGCGTGAGCGTCTCCCGCAGGGCGCGTGTCGAGCGCAGGTATTTCTCCAGCTGCTCGTGCGTCCAGTCGACCGCGCCGTCGTCAGTAGCGACCGTCTTCAAGTTGGTCATGGTCGCTTGCAGCTGCTGCTGAAGCTACATGGTCCTTAGCGCGAAGGCATCGAGGCGGTGAGGGCTACCGCCGTCGTGTCGAGGTGCAGGTCCCGCGCCAGCGCCAGCTGAAAGTCGCGCTTCCCGTCAAAGTCGAGCGACTTGTACGCCTTGCAGATGCTCTGAACAACGACGCGGGGCACAAAGTCTGTGGAATGCATGAGCAGGCGACCGCGTCGTAGCGGCGACGTACCGCCATGGCGCTCTTGGTTCGTGGCCACCTGGCGCATGAGCTGCGCCAGCGCGCCGCGATCGCGGGGCAGCGCGAACGAGCGCAGAAAGGCCGACTCGCCCGACGTCGCAATGGCCTGTCGCCAGAGGTCCCATGGCGCCGCCGAGCTCATCGCGCGGGCGCCAGGCGTGCGCAGAGCTCGCCACATCATCATCGTCCTCAGCTGCTCGACGCTCGTCAGTTGTTGTTTGCACACCACCTGGTATGCAATGGCGTCGCCTTTTTTCTAATTCTTTTTATTCGCTCTGGATGTTTGTATTAAAATGGATTAAAAATGGGCCATCCCAACTGCAAGGAGCGCGATCTTGCATCAACCCATGAAACGACTAAACGACTACACGACCACACGACTAAACGACTAACCGACTAAACCACTATAGCGCGCGTGCGACATGTCAAGAGGCAGCGCGCGTACTAAACGACTACCGTCGACTAACTGAACACAGGCGCCGCGCATTTCAGCCAATCGTTGGCGTTTCGCACGTGGATTTCGGGCCAATCAAGACCGCGTTATCGAAGCCAACCGAAGTTGCACTTTCTTCCGCATGAGCCTGCTCTGGCGATTGGCGCCGATGGCGTCCGCAAGGGGCGTGGCGCGCAAGCTCGCGACGAGCCACGGCAGCTCGACCAACGAGATGTTCCTTAAGAACATGCTGACGGTCACGCAAGTGACGCGGTCGCTCCAGGCCCACCGCTCGGACTTTACGTACCTCTCGACCACCGTCAACGTGCCGCACGAAGCGCCGTGGCCAATGCATTTGCGCGGCCAGTCGTTCAACGGCAACTACCTCCGCCAGCTGCACCGGCGCAAGCTCTTGCTGGCCGAGTACGTCCAAGCCTTTGATGCGCTGCAGTTTGTGTGGTGCACACGGTCGCACAAGTGGACCGTTCGGCTCCTCGCGCTCGAGACGTACCGCACCTTGTACGGAGATCTGCGTGTGCCGCACTTGTTTGTCGTGCCCGACCTCGACCCGGCGTGGCCCAAGGACACGTGGGGCCTCCAGCTCGGGTATCACGTGAGCAACATCCGCACGGGCCGCATCAAGTGCCCGGACGAGACCCGCGCCAAGCTTGACGCGCTCGGCTTCGTCTGGGATATGTTCCACGCCATGTGGGAAACCAACATGCTCGCGCTGCAAGAGTACGCGCGTCGGTACGGCCACGTCAACGTTCCCCAGGTCTTTGTCGCGCCAGACGACTGGCCGCGCGAGACGCGCGGTGCCCTCCTCGGCGTCTGGGTGAACAACATCCGCAACGGCGTCGACGCCCTCACGCCCGAGAAGATCACACAGCTCAATCAGATTGGCTTTTCGTGGAAGGGTAATAACCGCCGCAAGGAGCCGCCATTGAAAGTGACGACGCGACACTACCCCACGACGACGACAGAGCGCTATGCCACTGCCACGTAATCGGACCCGAACTACTACACTTTTGCCTTAACTGTGTGGATGGTGTTGCCGATGTCCAGCACAGAGCCATACGCACGCAGAACAAAAGCACACGGCAGCGCCGATACGCTGCACAGGCTCGACGCGCCGGCCACTTGAACCGCTTCGAGGATGGCTACCTCAAGTCTTCCTCAAAAGGGCGTCGCATTAGAGCTTAGCACAGCTCCTCTAGACAGTAGTTTGGCGGTCACTGGACATTGATGTGTTGTCAACGGCCTCGTTACGTAGCGTTGCCACGTCATATTGGCCCCAAGCCAATCCTGCCACAATCCTTCGTTTCAGCCAATCGCAAGCGTGCATTATCACATTCTTAGCCAATCAGCGATGCCTTTCGGCTTCGGCAACGACAACCTTGTTGTGCGATAGCTTTCGGAGCTCAAGTAGGCCATCGCACGACGTTAAGTGCATGACAATATTGTCTTCCATAAAGCGCATTATAGAAGTATCGCATTTGTTACGACTAGCAGGTACCAACGGGATCATGCGGAAATGAAGAAATAAAGACAAGTCAACGCCGGCCAGAATCGAACCCACCGGAAATGCACAACGTCAGCACCATCACTCGACCTTGTCTCTGTCCAGCTGAGATGCTTTTCGAGAAGAGTTGGCCGACTGACGTGATGCTCAAACAGAGATCGATATTAGTCCAAGTTTTGGCATATTATATTATATTAATACTGGGATGGTTCATATTACTTGAGGTAAATATTATAGTAATATGGCAATACATCATATTATATTACGTAATATAATATGCATTGCTATATTACTATTTTACACTAATATAATATCGAAACACCAAGTTCGGAATAGCTCTCCAAGGGGACATCAAGCGATTCACGTGGTTGAAGAAAATAATCATACGCAAGCTCCTGCACTCCTGTGGCATGACAGAGGGCTGAAAGCGTCGGCAGCACCTCAGATGAACGGTCGCGCTCTCATCCGGATGTATCCGGATAAGGGTCAGCACCATGCTGGCACACATCGTTCCACACATCGTCCATTATTGTGTCATGCGTGAGCAAACACGACACTCTCCACTCGATCCCTATGCTGTTTTGGTGGATTTACCATCGGTGGTGGCCACTGCCATAGTTGTAGTTATCAAAGATCCAAAATAGTAATATGACTGGAACCTATAGTAATATATTAATACTGGACACGACATCAAGTAATATAATATTTCCAGGTATTAATATTGCGAACGCTGCATATTATATTACTTTTTAATATTAATATAGTAATATTTTGATATTTCGCGCCGTAATATCGGCGATTGATATCGATCTCTGTGCTCAAATGATGATGGGGGCCGCGCGCGGTTGAAGCGTCCGGATACGGCCAGACCCATTCGCTTATCCAAGTACAGGTGGGAATGACCATTCGGTCGACCGGGCTTCCTTGAAGGAAGGCCCGCAAAGTCAAAGATCGAGGTACCCATGGGTCCTTCCTGTTTTCCTCTATTTATCGGCCCACCCCCGCCCACCCATGCCGCTTCGACCTACCCATGACCTTCGACCTACGCATGACCAATGGCCAAACGACTGGCGAGCCTTTGTACGCGGACGTGACGGCTGATCTTGCTCTGGCTCGTGCACTTGCACGGCGATAGAATATTCGATGGAGCATCACAACTTTTGCCAGGCGTCGACGGACCCACCCACGCCCACCCTGCGTTTCAAAATGTGATCCACCCCCACCTACTGCCCACGGGTTTGGGTTATGGGGAATGTGGGTATAGGCCCCATTGCACGCCTCTGCTTCCTTGGCTCACTGGCACTGCACGATGCACGCCTTGGCAAATGCCAATTCAAGGGCGCTTGGAACTGCTGTAACGTGTGCTGGTACGACGCCACCAGACCGCTTGGCTCACCTTCCACCTTCCACAGATCTGTACTTGTTTAAGGGAATGCAAGGATTGCACATCGGATCGCCCAACTTTGCACTTGTCGATTTGCACGAAATGGACCTCGTCGTCAAGGTGCCTCAGGCGCACGACCTCCGGAGCTCCAAGTTCTTCGGCAGCGTCAAGCGCCCGTACGCGCTTCTGCGCTACGCCCACGACAGCGCCAAGACCGACGTCGATCCGGCCGGGCGGGAGGCGCCGCGCTGGACGTTCCGCCACCGCTTTGCCAGAATCAACCCGGCGGCCTTCCCGTACCTCGAGGTCGACGTCTACGACATGGACGCGCACGATGGGCCAGGCTCGGCGATCGGGACGTGCGAGATTCCCGTGCCCACCAGCCCGTCCTGCTTCCAGCAGTGGTTCAAGCTCTCGCTCAACGACAAGATCACGGGCTACATCTACATCGTGCTCGAGGTCGTGGCGCGGCGCCGTCGCGAAGGCTCTAGCCAGCGGTCGATCGATAGTGCCGGGCGCCGGGCCTCCGATGGCGCCGAACGTCGGGCCTCCGACAGCATCGAGCGCCGGGCCTCCGACAGCATCGAGCGCCGGGCTACCGCAAGCATGGAACGGCGGCCCGAGCGGCGGCGCGACAGCGTCATCTCGACCGCGTCGTCCAGCGGCAGCAGCGGGTCGGCGTCGGCCAAGTCGAAGGCGTTGCAGTCCTCGAGCTCGTCGCTCAGTGCATCGTTCCTTCAGCGCACGGCAAGCCTTCCCGAGACCATTCCTCGCATCGACCCCGCCGAGCTCCGCGTGCGGTCGGCGCTCGGTCGCGGCGCATACGGCTCGGTCGCGCTCTGCATCTACAAGAAGCGGCACGTCGCCGTCAAGACGTTCCATGTCACGAGCGGCAATGTCAACGGCGACGACCACGAGTCGTTCGCGAAGGAAGTCGGCGTCATGTACCGCCTCAGCTCCTTTTACACGGTCCAGCTCCTCGGTATCTCGCACAACGAGCACGACCAGCCGCAGATCGTGATGGAGTACATGAGCGGCGGGAACCTGCACGAGCACCTCAAGCTCCTCGGCGCCGCCAACAAAGAGCACGACGTGACATCGCTCCTGTACATTGCACTCAGCGTCGCCAAAGGCTTGGTGTACCTCCATGATCAAGGCATCATCCACCGCGACCTCAAGCCCGCGAACGTGCTTCTGAGCGACGACAAGGTGTCGGTCAAGCTCGGCGACTTTGGCATCTCACGACAGTACGACGTCGAGTCGATGACCAACGGCATTGGCACCACGCCGTGGATGGCACCCGAAGTCATCAGCAGCGGCAACTACACGGTGCAAGCCGACATCTACTCGTTCGGCATCCTCCTCACCGAGCTCGAGACGCTCAAGCCACCGTACGCAGGCGAAAAGTGCAGCCCGTTCGTCTTGCAAGGCAAGGTCCTCAATGGGTACCGGCCATCGCTGCGCCCGACGGTACCGACGTGGTACAAGCGCCTCGTGGCCAGCTGCGTGGCCGGCGACCCAACCGCACGCCCGACGGCCGCCGAGATCGTCGAGATCCTCACGGACCAGATGCCAACGGCACGGCGCGCGGCCCTCTCGGTAGCGACGCTGCCCCAGATCCCGCCGTCCGACGTCGCGCCCGTCGGTATTGTCGGCGGCAACGCCTTCAGCTCCGTCGCCCGGGGTATTTACGGCGATCGCATGGTCGCCATCAAGACGTTCTTAACGCTGCACCCGTCGCGTATCGAAGCGGAGGCCAACCGCATGGCGCGCTTCGCGTCCGAGCACACGGTCGAGCTCCTCGGCTTGTCCGGGTCGACGCTCGTGATGGAGTGCATGCTGAACGGCAACTTGCGCCAGTTCCTCGCGCAAAAGGCGCGGCAGGCGTGGCCCGCGCACGATCTGCGCAACGTCTTGTACGTCGCCGTCGCGCTCGCCAAAGCGCTAGCATTCCTCCACGCCAACGACCAAGTCCACGGCAGCCTCGTCCCGACCAACGTGCTCTTTGATGCGAAAGGCGTCGTCAAGCTCAGCGACTTTGGCTACGACCGTGACGACGACAACGTAACGATCAACGGCGCGTCGACGATGGCGTACATGGCGCCTGAAGTGCTTTTGGGGCAGCCGCCGTCGTTTCCCGCCGATATTTTCGCGCTTGGCGTGCTGTTTACGCAGCTCGAGACGCTGCAAGAGCCGTATGCAGACAACCACAGTACGCTGACGAAGAAGGTCGCGCAGGTCTCGGCCGGCCTGCTCCGACCGACGCTGAGTCCGTCGTGTCCGGCCTGGTTCCGCGACCTCGCGCTCCTCTGCATGGCGCAAGACCCGGCTCATCGTCCGTCGGCCGCCGGCGTTGTACAGCTCCTGAGCGACAACATGCAGTAAAGGGATTCAAATGTTGTCAAGAATGCATTATCGGGTATGTCATGCGGTGCGTTGGGTGATGGGGTTAGGGTTATGTGCTTGGCTGGCACCAGCGAGCTGCGCCGTGCAGAGTGACACAGCTAGATCCTGTCGAGTTCCAGCGCAGGTACAACAGTAGAGCCGGTGACCACACTACGCTCTTGCGCCGCTGCAACGAGGCGACGCGAAAGGCAGATATAGCACGCATAGTTGATACACTGCTAGCTGGCTGACTCTTCTAGTACTACCTCGTTAGAACGAGTGGCCTTCGCGCACGAGGCGGCAGCGGACGACGACGACTGCAAGCCCCATGCAAGGACCGTCCAGAGCATCCACAGCAGTGGAAAGAGGAACGTGAGCAAAAGCCCTTCCGCGTCGTCACTACCAGATGCATCCGATCGCATGTCGCGCTTGGTATGAGAGATAGGATTACCTGCAGCGCGGGTTGAGGACGATCACGCCATGCACCTCGATGCTGCCGCAGTTGGGCGCGTACTTGTCCTTGAGCCAGCCGAGAATGATCGGCGACGGCACGTCACCGAGCGCGTGAATGAGGAGCGTGTTTACGGCCACCGCGAGCGGTCGTCGCGACGGCTCGACGCAGAGGAGGACGGCAATGGCGGTGCAGGACGGCGTCGCAAACAAGAAGATGAGGGCGAGGCCCACGAGCGAGAGAAACCACACCTTGGATGGAAGCCCGTACCACGCAAGGATCGCGAGACCCGTCCCGACGGCCATGAGGAAAAACATCTGCCGCAGCGCATAGTACTGCCGCACGGTCGCGTGCACTTGATGCGACGAGAGGTCGAGGAGGTACCCGCCGAGCGGCGTGCCAACGACCGCGCTCACCACTACCGCCTGTCTGAGATTGCCCTTTTTTCAAGAGGAACGTACCGACGAGGGCGCCAAAGACCATGGAGGCTTCGGTCTCGTGTTCGAAGACACCAAGGCCGATGAGGAAGAGTGGGCCAAAGACGCCGAGGCCCGAGATCGAGAACGTGAACGCTGCTGATCCGAGCACGCTCAGGAGAAACACTGGGTGCACCATGACCTCGTACGACTCTTGCCAGAACGAGAGCCGCGGCGACTCGGCCTCCTTCTGCAAGAGCGTCTTGCCTTGCTCTGCGTCGAGCTTGAGGTGGTGCTCGGCCGTCGCGTTCGCGGGCTGGTCGTACGCCGGCGGAATGCCGACGAGGCAAATGTAGGCCAGCGGCAGCATCGCGAGCGCTTCGAGGTAGAACGCCCAGCCCCAGCCCCATGACGAATTGGACATGACCGCACCGTAGGCGTACCCGAGCGCGGTGCCTGCCTACACAGGTGCTCTTGAGCAAACGCGGATCCAGAGGCTCGTACCGAGGTGAGCGTGAAGAAGACGCCCATCCACAGCGTCCGCGTCGAGGGCGGCGCGTGGTCGTCTATGAACGGCGGCGCAATGCACTGGAAGGACGACTCGCCAATGCCGCTGAGGATGCGCCCGGCGAGGAGGAGCGCGAAGCTCTGGTACGTCTTGGCGAGGCCGCACATGGCCATCGCGATGCACCACACAAAGAGGCCGATCGCGATGAGGCGGAAAGGCTTCATGAAGATCGAGAGGTACCCAAAGAGCACGATGAAGACGGCGTAGCTCGCAATGAAGGACGAGGCGAGCAGCCCGAGGTAGAAGCCCTCCTGCGTCACCGAGATGTGCAGCGTGGCCTCGATAAAGTACTGGAACTGCGTCGGCGCGCCTGGGATGATCCCTCGGTCCACGTAGTTGAGCATGTTGATGACGCAGAAGAGGAGGAAGATCCACGACGTCGCCGCCATGCCTGCCATGCTGCTCGTAGTCGTCGTCGTCGTCGCCGGTTTGCGTGTGGTGCGTGGTCATCCGGATACGAAACACGGTATTTTTAACCAGCCGTTATTAAGCCGGCTTCAACCTCAACCTGACTTTTGGCCTCCAACTTTGTACAGATTGTCTTGTATGGAGCACTTACACCTTGCATCAAGAGTAGCAGCTTCCAGGTGCCTCCAGAGATGGCGTGCGTGTCGGTCCTCGGGTGCCATCACGACTTGGGTGGCTAATGCCATCTGCGCGCGAGCTTGACGACGGCGGCCACACAAGCTTCCGTGCGCTCCAGGGACGTAAGGACACCCCAGTTGGTTGAGTACGAGACTATTGCAGGTAGAATGCCAGCTGCACGCGCGCCACTTGAGCGAGCTACGACGCTTCCTTGCCGCCCGAGGGACAGGAACGGTAGTACGGACTGGCAGGGATGTGCCAACCTTCGCACCCAAGATGGCGCTTCCAGCCAGGGTTCTTCGGATCCCTGGATCATCTTGGCTTTTCGAGCGACAATGGGCAAGCCGACGCCTTGTCCTGTTTGCTGGTGTCTGTTTTGCCGGGCTTTGAACCCGCGACAACTTTTGCATGGTGGCCGCCAAGTCGCTGGGTCGCCCTCGCCTTGCTAACCAAGGGCCACAGGTCCTCTGCTGAATGTGACAGAGATTTACATGACAATAGTGTACTTGATGCGCGGGTTGGGGCGAGAGTCGAGCAGGCAGTGGTCCGGATATGCATCCGGATTCGCAATTAACCGGAAGATTCCCTAAGTCCGCTCACAGCGAGTTTTGCGACCAGCGCCCCAGCATGAAGAAGAAGGTCGGTCGGCCGCGCTGGCTGCGCCTGCTCATGGCCCGCCTGCCGTAGGTCCTCTTGATGGGCAAGTCCGGCTCGGGCAAGACCTCGATGCGCTCGATCATCTTTGCCAACTACCTCGGTGTGTATGCATGCCAGCTAGCCGCCTTGTCTGACTGCATGTGTCTAGCCCGTGACACGATGCGCCTTGGCCCGACCCGTATGTGCTTTCGCCTATGGCCATGGCGCTCATGCGTGATGTAGTCGACGTCGAGCACTCGCATGTCCGCTTCCTCGGCAACCTCGTGCTCAACCTCTGGGACTGCGGCGGGTACGCGTGCCCATGGTCGTCTCTCGTCACGCATCATGCTGTGCTAGCCAAGACGCGTTCTACGAGAACTACTTTGAGAGCCAGCGCGATCATATCTTCCGCAGCGTCGAGCTGCTGATTTACGTCTTTGACATCGAGTCGCGCGAATTGGAGAAGGACATGAACCACTTCGACGGCTGCCTCGAGGCCATCGAGCAAAACTCCGAGTCGGCCAAGGTGTTTGTGCTCATCCACAAGATGGACCTCGTGCCCGAGGCGCAGCGCGACGCGGTCTTTGAGCAGCGCAAGGAGATGATCTTGTCGCGGACGGGCGTACGTCGCGTTCCCTTGCCGCCACCTTGTCCTCATTCGTGCTCGCAATGTAGCAAATCCCGACCGTCTGCTTTGGCACGTCGATCTGGGACGAGACGCTCTACCGCGCGTGGTCGTCGATCGTGTACTCGCTCATCCCCAACATGCAGGACCTCGAGCACCACCTGAATGTGTTTTGCTCCATCTGCAACGCCGACGAGGTCGTGCTCTTTGAGCGCGCAACGTTCCTTGTGATTGCAAACGCGACGCACACGACGCACCGGGACATGCACCGCTTCGAGAAGATTTCCAACATCATCAAGCAGTTCAAGCTGAGCTGCTCCAAGACGCAGGCGCAGTTTCAGGGCATGGAAGTCCGCAACTCGAACTTCACCGCGTACATGGATTTCTTCACGACCAACACGTACATCATGGTCATCATGAGCGACGGGTCGATCCAGGCCGCGACGACGCAGCTCAACATCAAGGCCGCGCGCCCCGTCTTTGAGCGCTACGTCCAGCAAGCCAACTAGGCAGAGCGATACGCTAATACACATCGTGTGGTTTCGTTGCGCCATCTCTCGAGTGGAAGGCAGAAGGCAGAAGGCGGTGGCTCCGAAAGTATCAAGTTGACACCCGTTGATAGAAAGTAGCCGATCTCTGCCGTGGCTCCGAAAAGTATCAAGTTGGCACCAGTTGATACAAAGTAGCCTGCCATGTGTCGACCTCACTGTGGCTTTGGCGGTATGGCTGCGACCGCGTCGCCGCTGCCAGGCGCGATTGCGTGGCTTGGGGCCCACGAGCTCCGCGCCGACAACGACGACGTTGGCTTTGCCAGTGCGGTGGGTCGCTTCCGGCCCTATCTCTGGCGAGACAAAAAAGTGTCGGTGTTGACGCTGAGCGATGCGACAGGCTTCGATGCCGCTGCGATCGCCATGCACCGGCTCGGGTCCTCTCCCCAGACGCTCCACGTCTACGGCGTGTCGAAGGACGCCATCGGCCGGCGATGCATCGTCATGGAGCGCATCGCGTACGGCTGTCCCGGGCGCCTCTTTGCGGTACCAGCGCAACCAGCCGCGTCGCCACTGTTTTCATTGAGTTTGAGCGGGCTTCTCAGCTTCGTGAGCCCTGCTTCGGAGCCGCCGCCGCCAAGCCACGACGCCCTTGCGTTCGTCAGCCTCCAAGAGGTGCTGGACCATTACCGTAATTCGCCGCCGCTGCCACAACGCGCTCGGCTGTCGCTGTCGCTGGCGATCGCAGAGGCCATCGCGTCGCTTCACGTCCGAGGCATCGTGCACGGCGCCATCACGCCCGCCACCATCCTCGTCGCGACACTGGACGATCGCCTTGTGGTCAAATTGATCGACGTGGGAGCCCGCGCGCTCGCTGCGTACTCGGCCCCCGAGTGCAACGACCACGCACCCGCGACGGAGGCCGCCGACGTCTATGCCATCGGAGCGCTCTTCGCCCACCTCGTCGCCAACGGCATGTCGCTCCAAGCGACTTCCGTCGCCGACCTCATCAAGGTGGTGCAACTGGGGCGGCGACCGTTGCGTGGACAGCTCTGTCCCGAGTCGTATGTGTACCTTGTACAGCGGTGCATGGCCGACGAGGCCACTGCGCGGCCGCCTATCGCGTACGTCGCCGCGTACTGCCGCGAAGCCATCGAAAAAAGCGACGCGATGGCAAAGGTTCGCAGCATCAACGCCAACGAGCTCGGCACGCTCGAGCTCATGGAGTTCGACTCGGCGCTCGACTATGGCACCTTTGGCATCCTGTACCACGGCTTGCTTGACGGCCGCGACGTGGCAGTCAAGAGCCTCTCGCACCACACGACCAACGAGATGTTTGAGAACGAAGTGTGGCTCCTCGCCGAGCTCGGCGCCAACCCGCACACGGTCGAGCTCCTCGGCACCTCGGTTTCGGCGCAAGGGCACCGGCAGATCGTCATGGAGCTCATGCGGGGCCGGAATTTGCGCCATCACCTCGGCACGCTCGCCGCATCATCAGGCGGGTCTCAGGACCTCCACCGGCTTTTACCGATCGCGCTGGAGATTGTCGAGGCGCTGCGCTACCTCCACGAGCGCAACATCATCCACCGCGACCTCAAGACGACCAATGTTCTCTTGGACGAGCGCGGGCATATCAAGCTGGCCGACTTTGGCGTCGGGCGCAAGGCCACTGGACGCACGATGACAGAACGCATTGGCACGTCGAGATACATGGCCCCCGAGGTGTTCAACGGCAGCAACTACACGACGGCCGCCGACATGTACTCGTTCGGCGTCCTCCTCACCGTGCTCACGACCCTTCTCGAGCCGTTCGCTGGCTGCACCGAGAGCGACGTCAAGCTGCACGCGCGAATTCGTGACGAGGGACTCCGACCGCGCCTGGATACCAACTGCCCACCGGCGCTTGCTGCGCTGGCGCACCAGTGCATGCACTTGGATCCTTGCGAGCGGCCGACGGCAGGAGCCGCAGTGAACATTTTACAGCCGCTGGTATGGGCCTTGTCGCCGCTGCCGATCATTCCGTCGCCGCTTCTTCAGATCGTGAGCAGTCCCGTGGGACATCCGAAGGTGTACGTCTACCGGGGTATCTCGGTCGTGCTCGAGCCTGCACCGCGCGGTCACGACATCCAACACCTCGTCCTGAAGGCCTACCGCCACAACTCGGAGCACACGGTGCACGTACTGGGCCTTGTTTGCGACACCCCGGCGCCCATGGTCGTTCTCGAGGCGACGACGGGGCTGCGCACGTTTCTGCAACGCAGGAGCTGCCACGTCATGGCGCTGGTGCGCGCGACCGCCGAAGCGATTGCCGCTATCCATGCTCGCAAGGCCGTCGTGACCCACCTGGTCCCGAACGCCATCGTCATCAACGGCAGCGGACGCGTCAAATTGAAAAGCGGTGGCGTGGACGCCACGGGTGCGGCACTGTACATGGCGCCCGAAGTGGCCGCCGGGGCTGCGCCAACGTTTGCATCCAATGTCTACTCGCTCGGTACGCTTTGGGCGACCCTGTGGCATGCACGAGGCGAAACCAGCGCTTCGTATCCACCAGGGTACGCGGACCTCGTCAAGGATTGCACGTTGGTAGACCCCGCAGGTCGTCCAAGCGCAAGGCAAGTGGTCGATCGGTTGGTCGCCCTTCAATAACTGACTTGCGCAGTTGTCGTTAATATAAAGTCGGCGACTTGTCTCTAAACAAGAGTTAAGGAACCTGCTACTGCCGACAAGAGCTACCGGTAGGAGGTTTTCGCTTGTCCGCATCGTCACGATAGCTGCTCGGGTACAATAAGATCCGAGTTGGGAGGGCCAGCGATTGCCTTAAGTAGTGTGTCTTCTAGCCAGTGCGATGGTGGCCTCGTCGCAGGCTGCCGTGGCACTAGTGATTCTCTCAGAATGCATGATGGACCTTCTTCAACCAGGTCTTGCGTGGCGATCTTCGTCCTGTCAAAAGCCATAAACTGTCAAACATGATAGTCCATGACGTGGCAGCCGCGGCGTTGCGTTCTTCGTCTCATGTGTGCGAATTCGTCGTCGGCAAGGCAATAAGATATATATTTGTGTACGTTAGTTGGTGTACACTTTAGTCATGCAAACCATATCAAGAAATAAGAGAAAAGAGTGTCTACTGCAGCGTGCGGCACCAGCTGACGATCGTCGCGTGGCCAAACTGCGCCGCGAGCGCACTCGCATGTTGCACGCAGCCTTCGGACCGGTGAAAATGCAAGTAGCGCACGACGTCGAGGCTGCCGTGCGCGGCCGCCCAGTTGATCGCGCGCGCCGTGCAGCCCTCGTTGCGGTACTCGTGCAAGAAGCGAACAACGTCGAGGTGGCCGTACAGCGCCGCGCCGTCCATGGCTTCCTTCGTGCAGCCCTCGTGGCGCACTTCGTGGAGGAACCGGACGATCTCCAAATGCCCCGAGAAGGCCGCGCTCGTCATGGCGTACGTCGTACAGCCTTCGTTGCGGTGTTCGTGGAGGAAGCGGACAACGTCGAGGTGGCCGTTCTTGGCCGCTTGGTCCATCGCAAAGCTCGTGCACCCTTCCGTACGATGTTCGTGGAGGAAGCGCACGACGTGCAAATGGCCGTGCTCCGCCGCCTGATTCATCGCGTAGACGGTGCAGCCTTCGGTGCGGTGCTCGTGCAAGAAGCGCACGATCTCGAGGTGGCCCGAGGCCGCGGCGCTGTTCATGCAGTCGGTCGTCCAGCCGACGACGCCGTCCTGCGCATGCAAGAAGCGCAGAATCGGTAGATGGCCGTGCTTGGCTGCGCCGTTGAGCGCATACGTCGAGATGGGCGGCACAGCGTTGTTGTTGTTGCTGCTGCTGCTGCCGTCGAGCCAGACGCGGTAGAGATGCTCGAGCACGTGGCGCTGGCCCGAGAGAATGGCGCAGAACATGGCGTACTCGATCGCGCGGTCGGGGTGGGCCATGTGCGCGAGGACCGTCTGGACCATGCGCAGGTCGCCGCGTGCTGCGGCCACGCCCACGAGGCTGTTGTCCTTGAGGGCGAGCGCGAGCGTCGGGCGGTCCGACTTGAGCTCGCGGCAGTACGCCGTGATCGCGTACGCAACGCCGGGCTGGAACTCGGCCATGCGGCTCACGAGCGACGGGTTGCAGAGGACTTGGACGGACGGCGGGTCGCCCGTGTCAGTGTTGCGGCGCTGGTCCATACCGGCGGTTCTTGGTGATGAGGTTCGTGACGCTGTCATGGTTTGCGTGTCACAGATGCAAAGGCGTGGCAGAGGAGGACGAGGTTATCCGGACAGCCCGGCCGGCTTAGGGGGCTTTGTCGATCGCGAATAGGAAGCGCGACACGAAGGCGGCGGGAGGGCGTCGGGACGCGGCAGAGCGAAAGGCAAAATGGCAGCCGTGTCGCAGAAAGGCAGAGTCTTCTGGCCGTTGAAGCGTTTCAACGCGCCTATGAACGCGCCCGAATGTTAAAACAGTGAGGCTTGAAGTTGCCAGACCGTTGCCGCGGGTTCGACACCGTTGACCGACGCCTTTTTAGGTCTTTAATCCGCCGTCAAGCTTCGAGAAAAGGCGTAAGCTCGTGCGATTGATGGCTATGGTCGTGGGGCGCCCGAATCCGATCCGTTCTCGCCGACAAGGCCGTGGCAGCGGCAGCATCAAGGTCCATCGCGTATCCCAGTAGCCGCGCAATGTTATTACACCGATAAGCCATCAACATGGCTCATGGACGCAGCAGTGGCTGCCGACCTGCAAGGGTACATAAATTGAATTTATGTACCCTTTCTACCTGGTACCCGTCCTACGGCGAGAAGCGGCAGAAAGGACGGGACGTCCAAGTAGCGAGACGCGATACCGGTAGCAAATGAGAGGTGTATGACATGCACATGCACTGATATCAATAAGCAGAATACCGTAGAAGCTGTGCGAGCAAGGACCCTCCATCTCTTCGTATCGTCGTCAAGCATCGCCCTTGAACGCTTTCGTCCCCTCGGCTATAAACGCAAGTGCATGGGGGAGACGAACGGGGTTCGTGTTGGGAGGCCGCCGCCGCCCAAGAAGGGACTGGTGGGTGGGTTAAAAGAGCGTTGAGTAGCTAAGAGGATCGGAGATGGACGAGCAAATCGCAAATGAGCTTGGAGGCTTGAACTTCGATCTCGGCGGTTGCGCCTTGCTCTAATAAAAGAGCTAATGGAGCTGCCGCCATCTTGGCGGTTGGGCATGGCGGTTCAAGATGGCGCCCTTGCTTGGCCTTGGTACAAAAACCCAGCTTCACGCGTGCCGCGAGAAACTATCCCGTTCGTGAACGGACCATCACTCTCCGGTGGCCTTGCCCGGCCGACGCCACGCCACGTCACCGCACCTCGACGAGCAGCCTCATGCAGTAGCACGAGTCGGTAGATGGGCCTTCGCAGCGCAGGAGGTTGATGGGAGCGCGCTGGTGGGTAGTAGTACGTGGCAGGCGTGCGGCGTCTTGGAATGGCGGTATGTGATTGGCTGAAAAGCTGTGCCAGCGCCCAATGGGTGCGCCGATAGTGTGGCTGACCTCAGAACTGGCCGTCGCGATGCTCGCCCACACTGGCCGATTCCTCCGCCGCCTCCGCCCGACGACGACCATGCTTCCGACGACGACGGCCGCTAGCCTGAGCACGCAGCGAGAGGCGCCGCCACCGACGAGCTGGACGGCCAAGGGCAAGGCCTTCCTCAAGGAGTATGGCACGGTCGGGCTCGTGACCCACACGACGCTCTCGCTGCTCTCGTACTCGCTGCTGTACGTGAGCGTCACTAAAGGCCTCGACGTCGGCGCCTTCCTCGACAGCTGGCGCAACAGCGTCGCCGCGGCGAACGCGACCACGTCGTCCGATGGCGTGCACACGGCCAGCAACGCAGTCGTGACCTACGCGCTCTACAAGATGCTCGCGCCGATCCGGTGGCCGCTCACGTTCTTCGTCACGCCAGTCGTCGTCAAGCAGTGGAAAAAGTTTGGTGGCGCGGCCAAGAAGACCGACGAGGGCCCCAAGAGCAGCGACCTCTAGACGACGAATCCTTTTGCTGATAGACCACATCCCACCATTCGAAACAAGACCTTTTCTGTGTACACTCAACTTGTAGTACGCTCGTGTCGGCCCAGTCGCGGGTCAATAAAATTATGCATCTTGACCCTTGGCCCACGAGGGCTTCGTTGCACGTGGGCTGAAGAAGGGCCTCTCGGTCATGCTACCATGCAGCGACGGGTGGCTTGGCGTGCGCCAAAGAGGTTTTCGCCCGCTGTTTTCAAGCAAGGTTTAGTAGAACTTGAGTGTGTTTAAATGAGCAAACGGGTGTATTCGACGTTTAACCCTAACACTACTTTGTGTTTAAAGTTATTAGATAACTAAGTTAAGGTGTCTTCTGTCAACATGCTGTTTTGGCTAGACGGGGTGACGCAGGTCGTCTTCGTCCCCGATGCTCGAGCAATATGTGGCCTCGAGTTGATCCACAGACTTTTCCTTCTTGAGCTTGATAGCAACAACGATGCCGACGGCTATTAACACCACAATCATCGCACCGAAGCCCCAGAGCCCTAACCACAGCAACGTCAGCACCTTGACACAACAACACACAAAGCAAGCACGTACATCCCGACTTGGCCGCTGGAGCCGTCGATGAGGATGACAGCTGGCTCGCTGATTTTCAATCGAACGAGGGCTGTTGAAGCTGGTGATACTATCCGTACAAAGCAGTGTCGACGCGACGTCCTGGCATCTTGCAAGGCTCCCGAAGCGATCGCACACACCGAGTCCGACGCAACGCGAGCCGTTATTTGATGATGATGATGTGATGATCCAATCCGACTGCTGGGATACACACGACCACGATGGTGTCGGCGCTGTTAGAGCCTCCTTGGCGATCGAGCACCAAGACGCAGCGTCGTCAGAGCTAGAGACGCCCCAGTACATGGCGTACTCGGCGCCGCACCGAGCAGGGTGCACAGGACGTCGGGTGTCGCTTGTGGCATTGACCATATGGACGTCGCAGTTGACACTATCATGTGACCGGCACTCGATCGTGTCGCCCGCCCGCACTTGCACGTAGCCGGTGGGAACGCGGAGGTGCTTCCAGTTGGTGTCCAGCACTGTCGCTTCCGCGTCTGCTCGTCGGAGCTCGAACGAAGCGACGCGCTGAGTCCAGCTACCGAGACGTGTTGTCGAGTAGCGCCAGATCGCGGACTGGCCTTGTCGCTCTGGGCGATCGTACGTCACGAGCTCCGTGTTGGCATCGAGCGTGATGGATTGAATCGGTTTGGACCAGCGCTGGAGCGCGGCGGCGGCGTCGTCGGCCGCGGCGACCGTGAGCGACTGGCCTTGGTACGCTGGGTCCTCGAAGAAGGTGACGGCCATCGCGTCGACGTTGATGCATAGAGCAAGTGCACCAAGCACGAGTAGACGGAGCATGAATGCAATCTGAAAATGACAGTACGATCTGCACAGTCGACGGCGCGCGACCACGAAGACCACGCTCCTTGTGCTGCATGCTGGGTGGAGATTCCAGCACGGTGGGAAGCAGGCGGTCAAATGTGGGACGCGCCACAATCGATCTAACTACTAATCTGGCGCTGATACCACCAACATCTGATTTTGACACGCTTCGATCCTGATATGGAGCTACTAGATCGATGCTCGAGGGTACCATGCTTACGAGAACTCACCGCCAATGCACCTTCTTTCAGTGGTACCCTCACACACAAGGCCACTAGCTGCGCCCAAGATGACGCTGGATCCCACTGCGTTATGCTAACACCCTCAGCGTGGCTAGGATGACCCTTGGCCACGATCATGCGTCAGTTGCTCCATCGAGTTTCTCTAGTCGCCAGTGACACGAAGACCTTGCTGCAAGGTGTCCACAACGTCTCGTGGTCGGATGGCATACAAAAAACAAGTAAAAATACTCTTTGGTCAAACATGTGCTCCGCGCCTGCGTCTGGTTCAACGTCTCGCCAGTCCGGATCGATCGCGTCTTTCTCGCCGACTTCCCGCTGCCAAGTCCATGGACGATAGCCGTCAAGGCGCGTGTTGTGTCTGGACGATTGCGACAACCCATGCTCCAACCGACGCAAGCCAGGACCGTCCACACGACCTTATTGGTTGTGGGTGGGTGGATAAGCCGTTAGGGAAAGGACGACTATTTGGAAGATATATCTATCTTCGTCTAGGTATCACATACTGAGAACAATAGCTTAGGAGCGACGCCTCGGCATAGCTTCTATCGGCGCCTCATCGAGTGCCCACGCTGAAGCTCGCCAACGTCGCTCACTCCATTTTTCTCTGCGGATACAACTGCCTGCTATCCGGGGGACACATCTCTCCTCGCACGGTGTTTGAGATCCACTTCGAGTACGACTGAGACCTCGCTACGATCACGGAGAAGGAGCTGCGAGATCGCCTTGCTGCAATCATGGAGACGACCTCGTCCAAGAACATCGAGTCGGTAGATGCCCTCAACAAGTGCTTCCGGACGCTGCGCATGCCGAAGATGACGGATGACGCCGCGTCGATCAGACGTGACTACATGTGTCAAATCGGCAAGATCATCGATAAGCAGGCCCTTACCGAAGCGATCAAGGTGAAGGCCATTCGCCGTATTGCGATCAAGGCCATCACGGAGAAGATCGAACCGGCGTGGGTGAAGCACGAGGTGTCGCGACATCTAGAAGTCAACCCAGCTAAGTCGCTCAAGGCGTTTGATGACGTGCTCTTGTCCAAGATTGAAGCCTACCAAAATTTCAGGACGGGGCTAGAGATCAACGAGATAGCCTCCGGGAAGCGCAAGCTCTCCGATGCTCAACCAGGTGAAGGTGACGGGCCGCCGACGAAGCAGCCCAAACCCAAGCCAAGGACAGGCAAGAACCGGATCAAGCTATACCCTCCAGACAATGATGGGGCTTCGGACCCAGCCAAGAAGTCTGTGCTGCCTCGCCGCGCCCGCAAAAACTGCCGGGCGTGCAAGGCCACTGACCACGAACTGTCCACGCGCCTGGTCGTGACAGATCCGGGCGAGCGTAAAGCAGTGCAGTGGTGGTCAAGCTCAACTGCACTCGCACCACATCCTCGTTCAAGAGCCTGAGCATACCGCTCTTAGTCAACTTGTCTGGCCCCACAACAGGAATGGCCAGCACATTGTCCTGCGGATCGTGCTCCTGCCTTCGTCTGCTTAGATCATGTTTCTCAACCGAGTGTACACGACGAAGATAGTCCGATAATTTATGTAGCGTACCTAGTTTTATCTCTTGTAATATTGAAATAGACGACGTCCATGAGTGGGGTCGACGACGGGATGGATCTCTCCTTGCGCAGCTCACTCCTAACGATCAAGTGCTGGCAGTGCTGGTGCCAACTCCCACGCATTCCGGCGTACCGGTAGCTCTACGTATGCAAAGTCTTTGTAACGTGTTAGTGAAGATAACGCGGAACACGTTAATATATACAATAGACGACCCATTTCAACAACCAATGACAAGTAAAACTACCGGTACTATAATATAGTGCGACTATAAATTGACTCTTGGTGACGATGGCCGCTCCCGAGGCGCCCCGTTTTCTAGGCCGCACCAAGATCACGTTGCCGATCGTCCTGCACCGCGACCTCCAGTCGTTGACGCCGCCTCAGTCGCTGGCGTCTCTCGAGGACCTCAACAAGCTGCGTAGCTTTGTGGCCGATCGCGAAGCCTGGAAGGAATTTACGGAGCTTGTCGTCGTGGGCCTCACCCGCGGCCACAAGCGCCCCCGGACGACAACAGAAGAGCAAAACGAGCTCCCGCGCCGCCGCCTGCGCAGCCACGGCCCGGTGAGCGAATGAAGAAGAAAGAGATTGCTAGTCTCGACGTATGCGAACTCTTTGTAACATCGGAGATAACGCGAAACACGTTCATATATATTGGTGACGATGCGAGTCGAAAGCAACAAAGTGCAACCATGCTAAAGGATGCTTTTACAATTGAACGCGCCAATAGTTTCGTCCTCCGACGAGAATTTGGTCCTTCGATAGACGACCCTCTACGATCGCCAGCGCCTCGAACGGCTCTATCGGCATGCTCTAGCTACGATAGCCAGCACGGGTATAACCACTGGTATGGGGCAACCCAAGAAGCTCAATGCCCACACTTCAATATACCTGACGATTGACTGCGGCGTATCGACTTGGCGTGCATTTTCGTGTTGCGAGGGTATCTCTGCGCTGTCACCTTCATACAAGCTACGCGACGTCTGAGGCCTTGCAAAGGAGGTCTTATTCCTCGTAGTGACAACACAAACAGTGCAGCCAAGACGCAAGGAGGTCTGTGGCCACTTGAGAAAGACGTGGGTTTGTTGCACCTTTTGACCTCGTGAACGAACGTGAAGGCGACCGAAAGGTGCTCGTGTCGTCAGAGAAGCGCCGTTGCGGAAATGTGCTAGTACGTCAACAAGACTTTTCACACGTTTCCTTCCGGTCTGCCATCGAGACATGCAACTTGGTGCGCATTCGATGACGAAGTTTGCGATTTCTGTGGGATCTTGTCGACTCGACAGGTTCAAATGGTCACATTTGGCACAACATGTCTATATCGGACCACGATTCTTTCTCTTTGACGATTTCGAATCACGCGCATTCGCCTCCCCAAGAAAAATGCCAAAAAGATCGATGACGCCAGCCCGTGGTCGCCAAATCAACGTGTGGCGTGAAAATCAACGTGGAGCTTCTTGGGGATTAAAGCCGCATTTTGAGATTCTGCAGCCCGATCCGATTGGTCTATCGGTCCATCATCTACTATAATTGTCCCGGGCACTCGACATGAAAAAATCTATCCTGTGCACGTACTAGCGCCTGACATTCGCCGTCTTGTCCTTGGATCCGTCGTGTCCACAGGTGTCACGAGCCCACGATCGCGATATCGGCGTTTGATTACCGAATACCGGTCCGAAGCGATCAAAATCTGCCCTTTCTCAGACGCCGACAGGATGATGACACGCGCAGGCATCGCCCTCTTCCCTTCAGCGTCCATCATGAACTGATGCGCTTTTGGTCATCATGTCACCGCTTCCATGTGACCAGCCATAAGCGGGATTACGAAACGTGGGCAATTCGCCACTCGAAAAGAGCCAATCCCATGCATCGCCGACCAGCTGCGATAAGATCTGCTGTGGAAAATCTTTGACCGATATGCGTTTTATACGTAAAACCTGAAAGCAAGTCGGTGAGTGACAGCGGACTTTGGCGTCGGCGGCCACTGCCCGTGACGAGATACTTGGTCGCATTGTAGTGTCGTGGAAGCGACACCTTGGACAAAGATCGTACAGCAGACGATAACGTCCCAGGTTCCCATGGTACAGGAAGGGTTGAACCCATGGCTCTCAGTGTCAAGCGTCGTAAATCGCAGTGCCGCGCACGAGACATCTAGCTTACCCTACTAGTACAAACCGTCGAGATAAATGTGCGGTAATACCTAGTAGTACCTTGGACTCTACCAATATTCTAGTCCTGTGGGACTAGGATAGCGCAGTAACATCGTCGGGAAATGCCTCGGGTGTGCAGGCAGGACACAAGAAAGAAAAGATTCTGAGCGTTGAGACCGCGCTGCAATACTAAAGAGCGTCGGTGTTGCACCTGTGCGTACAAGTGATGCCTCTCGATCGATTCGTCGTGCCGTGTCGACGGCACGCCTTTCCATCGTCATCGCTACCATCATTCCCTCCTTTAACCTATAATAGATACCATGCGTTTAAACGCAATCGCAGCTGGTCGTGGCCCATGGATATCATTTTCCAATTTCATTTGCCATGTTCAAGTCCTCCCTCTGCTGCATGAGCGCATGGCTTGGCCTCGCGCTTGCCTCGCGCCCGTCGGTCGTGCTCTACGAACTGCCTCAGTACCTCGGCCAATCCCTCACGGTCGGCTCGTCCGATGACGCGGCTGCTACGCTCGCCCAGTGGAAGCGCCCGATCTTCTCGATCGTCGTCGACCCCGCGACCGAGTTTGTGACATACGATGACGCCGGCAACTCGGCGGTGTGGCACCACTCGACGTCGCTGCTCGGCAACTGGCCCTACAAAATCTCGTCCTTCCGCGTCCAACCCGCGACCACCAACACGACCACCAACACGTCGTCGATCCAAGCGCCGTGGAGCTACATTGGCTCGGGCGAAGGCTACCTCATGGTCCGCAACTCGAGCTCGACCGTCGGACAACCGGAGTGCTACTCGAACGACGGCGTCAACTGCGTCACGGCCACCAGCGTCGCCGACCTCCTCCGCGTGCCCACCAAGCTCGACGTGGCCTTGCACCCTGCGCAGTGCGGCGCCGACCACTCCATGTACTGGGGCTCGACCGGGTACGAGTCGGCGTCCTCATGGTGCTACTTCGCGCGGGCGGCCCTCTCCTCCGCGCCGCTGCATTGGGACTGCGTCCAAGGGTCCAACGGCTGGGTCGCGCTCACACCCAACAACTCGCTGTGTGTTTCTACGGGCACCCGCGGTTGCGTTCAGTTTGCGTCGCAAGCGACTTGCAACGCTTCGACGACGATGCTCGTGGGGCCCATCACCGCCGCTTGGACCTTCTCTTGTGGCAATCTCTCGGCGTGTGTCGGGTCGTCCTCTTCCACCGGGTCGGGCACCGGGTACCCGTACTGGAACGCCAGTGTCGGCAGCACGTCGTGGAGCGTCGCATGCCTCGGCGCGGCCCTGGCGCTCTGCGGCGTCTTTGCGATCTTTAGTCGCTCGACGACGCCAGCCGCCGTGAACGTTGAAGCCACGTATTGCTCGAGCGTTGGCGAAGCCGAGACCGACGACGATCTCGAGTCCGTGTACCGCACGCCAGTCTAACGCTTTAGCAACCTTACTAATCTATCTATTTAGCGAAGATCGTCTTCATGTATCCACATCCGTTCGTCGAGAATTTATTACATAATTTATGACCAGTGAACCTCACGCCACCACCATCCAAACAACCTTATCATGGGGCGAGCCCGATACAGTGTTGGCCTGGCCTGGAAGCTGCGATATGATGCATGCAATGGCAAGTGCAATGGTATGAGGCAAGGCGTGGCAAGGTCGTCGGGTGCTACTCACGCGCCCGCGTTTGCTGTTGCACCAAGGTCGCCAGCATTTCGTGGTGAAAAGGAATGTGTAACATCCAGTATTCAATGCGCATTTTATGTACGCTTGGTGTTTGTATAGAAACACACGACGCTTTATTGTATGCTGCATACACTGTACATGTGGGGGCGGCCACGATGGCGATCCTGTATCGTAGCCGCGCGCACGTCGGCTCAGTCTTCAATTTGCGCGACAAGGAGCTGGTAGAACCATGAAGCTGCTCTCTTCCTACGTGGCACTGGCGGCCGCTGGCCTCTCTGCAGTCGACGCCGCCGAGTTTGTCTTCAACAACAAGTGCAGCTACACCATCAACCTCTACGCCGCCCACGGCAAGCACCTCTGTGACATCGCGCCCGGCCAGACGCGCGACAAGAGCTGCGGCGTCACCATCTCGCACGAAAAGCCAGGCATCTTTCGCCACACGGCGTCCGACCAAGTCAACCGTACGCCGCATCGCCTCGTTCCTGTGGTCCTCATATTGTCTGCTAGTCATCGAGTATGTGCTCAACGGGCGTCTGTGGTATGACTTTAGCAACATCCCGCCCATGGTACAGCACGCAGCCTGCACTCCTTGGATAGCTCATGCATGGGACCATGTAGCCGGGCAACTGCAACAGCTTCCAGGACTGCAAGGAGAAGACCAAGGCTGTCGGCTTCAACGTGCCCATGTCGCTGACGCCGACGCGTCACAAGGGCAAGGCCAACTGCAAGGCGCTTCTCGACGACAAGCCGGACGCGCCAGACGCCTACCTCTTCCCCGCCGACACCAAGACGCACGACTGCCCCGCCGACGAGGCCTTCGAGCGGCCTCGTCTCGGGCGTCCCGGCGTCGTCGTCGTCGTCGTCGTCGGGCACGTGCACGGCGCAGATGGGCGTTGACTTTACGAACGGCGGCACCAACAACGACATTGGCAACGGCCCGGTGTCGGGATCGACAACCGAGCAGCTCGCGCAGTGCTGCGCGATGTGCCACAAGAACGACAAGTGCGTCGCGTACTCGGTCGGCTACGGCTCGTGCTACATGAAGTCGAGCGTCGGCGTGCCGCGTGTGAACGCGCACGTGTCGTCGGGCATCAAGGGCGCGGGCCCGTCGATCCAGTGGAAGCAAGATTACTGGGGCAACGACATTCGCGGTATCGACGTGCCTGGGTCGGCGGTCGACCAAGCGACGATGTGCCACAGCCTCTGCAAGACGACGTCCAACTGCGCCGGCTTCACCATGAACGGCGGTCGCTGCTACCTCAAGAGCCAGCTCGCCAATGGCTACAAGAGCGACACGGCGTACTCGGGCACCAAGAACTAGATGCGTCGTCCTGGCTGTGATTGGAAATGTCGGGATGTACATAACATGCTACGCGTTGTTTTTGTTTTTTACAGAAGTCTTTTTCAAGGTTTTCGAGTCTTTTCTGAAAAATGTGACGAGGCATCGCACTCTTCAATCAGCTTGTTTTGATACCGGTACAATCATGTACACTACACTACCATGACAAGCAATTTTGATGCCCTTGCTACCAGGAATCGTGTGCGGAAGCTGTGCTAACTAACTCAGACGCTGGTTTCCCGTGACGCAGGAAAGGAGTCGCTCGGTGGATTCGAACCCATGCCCAGTAGTGCGACCGCAACGATGCGTCATTGTACTTGCTACCGATTGCGCTCGTAATAAACCGTCCTTTCCACTCGGTGGGCTATTAGTACATGCTCGCTACGCCCGCGATAAATCCCCTTCTTCGCGAAGGCCATCCATCATCATCTTCGACTCGTCCACGCGCGTTATTTCGCCGTCACATCTAAGTAGAGAGAGCACATTTAATTTAAATCGTTACGGGCTGTTGGCGCGGGCATCGCGGGTTTCCTTGGCCTCTTCGAGGTTCTTGGGGCCAAAGCCGTACGGGAGGAGGTGGTCGATCGTCGTCTCGAGCACTTCGTCGCCGTCGCAGATCATGCGCACGACCATGGTCGGGCCAAACTCGTTGAGCACTTGGCGGCACGCGCCGCAGGGCGACGTCGCCTTCTCGGTCGGCGTGTAGATGCAAATCGCTTCGATGTGCGTCATGTTGCCCTGGACGCGCGCCGCGTACACAGCGGTGCGCTCGGCGCAGTTGCCCAAGGGATACGACGCGTTCTCGACGTTGCAGCCGGCAAAGACTTGGCCATCGGACGTCAGCAGCGCGGCGCCGACGTGGAAGTGGCTGTACGGCGCGTAAGCCGCCAGCGACGCCTTCTTGGCCGCGTCTTCGAGCTCGGTCCAGTTGATCGAGGTCATCGCAAGGTAGTTGGGGAGAGGTGGGGGTGACAGAGGCAAACTCAAAATGAATCGTCGTCTTCAACCGATGACGCTGGTTGAAGATGCGTTTGTAGAGGTTTTCGTGGTGCTGCCCCGCCGCTGCGACACGCCTTGGACCACGAAGGGATCATGGTCCAACTCTCGAGCTCAAAGACTCACCTGAAAAGGAGGTCACGCGACCGGCAGCACCGATGCGCCCCGCGACTGGCAACGCGGACACCGGCGCCACGGCCAGAGCCCATGCGTACAACGGTATGGAAAACCTCTGGCAGCCGGGCGAGCACGCGCCACGTACCACCAGGACGACAAAGCCAGCGGCAGAAAATCCGTGTCACTTGACCCGATCCCGAGGCGCTGTGATTGGCGGTTGCAACTTCAACATGTGCGAGGAAGCGACCCAGTTGAAGGGTTGATGCGCCGACTGCGGCGTCGTTCGCTGGGCCAGCATCGCAGGTGCGCTGCCTTGTGCTTGCTATTCGACGTGTCGCGCAGCTTGGATCGCGCCAAACTCCCCACACGAACGAACTTCAAGTTCACGCAATGCGGCGATGCGTCGACGGACCTAGCTCTATGCGCAGAGACGCCTTCTATAAAACACACACCTTCTTCCCAGCAGCAAGTTGCCGTCCCTCAAAACCAAGCGAATCTGATTCCCTTGCTCAAAACGGTGCGTTCAAATCGTCACATCCCCACGAACGCTAACCTCGATGACGGGATTCCCTTCTCGCTAGCACCTCCAAAACATGAACGATGCACGGCAGGATGCGCTGGTGGCAGCGAGCACGTGAGCAGCCATGCCACCAGGTCACGCTAGCCGAGTGCTATATCAAAACTCTTTTACTCCATGTACTAATTCCTCACCAACTATCTGACTAGAGGAAGATTGGTCGCGACGTCGAGCTCGACCAAAGGTGGCTGGTTCATATGGGCGACGCGTTGATAGATCGCACAGTGGTCTTGGCGGTGGACGCTGCGAATGCCACGGCTTTTGCAATGCGCGCAGCCATAGTCGCTCCGCAGTTCAAAGTCGTCGCGGACAGCATCGTGGATGTAGTCGTCGCGCAGATTGCTGCAGGCGATGGTCGCATGGCCCCTTTCAAAGCAGTACTTGCACATGGCTGTCGTCTCCGCCTTGCACTTGGCTTTCTGTGCTGCCTTGCGCTTCTTCGTTGATGTCAGTGGAGCGTCTTGAGGCGCCGCCTTGCGCTTGCTGCTCCCAGCGGTCGGTGTCTCCGTCTCGCTCGTTGCCGTCATTGGTGGCGGTGCGCTGTGGATGGCATGCCGCGCCACCGTAGCCGCATCGCTCGGCGGCAGCAGCACGGCCGAGCTCGGGAGACTGCGCAAGTACTCGATCGCGCGCCGCTTGAGGAACGCATGATCCCAGCCGCCGACTTGAAGCTGCCACGCCTGGAAGAGCGGTGACATGTGCGGCGCGCACGCATGCGCCAACAAGGTCGAGAGAACCTTCTCCTTGAGCTGCGCTTGGTACTCGTCGAGAAGGACCTTGGCGTCGTCGTTGGCGTCAATCAGCGTCTGCAGCTCGGCGTCGGGCGCCAACAGCAGCTCCGTGAACGGCTGCGCCGCCGCGTCAAAGTCTCTCAGAAACGTGGTGGGCACATGCCAGAGACCGTCGAGCGTGACGTCGGCGACGTGTGCGTGGAGCAAGAAAAGATCCCGGTTGGTCGCTTGGACTTGCCGGCGCAGTGCGCTCCATAGCTCAAACGGGTCCATGACGCAGTGCCCGAGCGCGCTCTGGACGTCCGCGTGGATGGCGGCGAGATGGTACCTCGCAGCGCGCTGCGCGACGCGCTGGCCCATTGACTCGCACTCGAGGACTGCGTACTCAAGTACGCGGTCGCGCACCCTTTGCTGGCGCTGCCCGCGCGCGTACTCGAGCTGGTCCATCGACTTGTTGTCGCCGTCGACCGGCGGTTCGGCGGCCTCGGCCGACTGGCGGATGTGCGCTCGCTGCTCGTCGCTGAGGAACTCTGGCAGCGTCGGGTCGACGTAGGCCCGGGTCATGTAGTAAGCGCTGTAGCCCAGCGCCGACGCCGACGTTAGGAAGGCTCGCTTCCACTCGTAGTAGCCATCGAGGGCCAAGAGGATGGGACCAGCGTACGTCGTCATCACATTGCCCTTTCGTCGGATTCATGACACTATTTGGGACCACATGTCGCACACTCGAAATCGTGTATGTAGGGGTAGGGCGATGGTCCGGCAAGGACGGCTACATCAAGGGTCAAGGTTATACACCCTTGGCTACATGTACCACGATAGAGCCTCGGGCGTCTCAGCACCGATGGCGACCGAGAGAGCAACGAAGAGAGATTGTCCAAGGCTACAAACACGCTAACATTGAAAGAGGACATGGGCTCAGGACGGCTTGCGACGGTCTGGCACGTAGCGGGAGGGCTTGGTCGCGGGACCGTTGGCGAGCGACGCGAGCCGCGGACAGCCCAGTGCGCGATGGGGCAAGACATTTCCGAGCGTGACGCAGTGGGTGCAGCACACGTCGTCGGGGATGTGAAAGCCACGCGCCACCTGGAAGTGCTGCACGTCGGCCACGAACCGTTCGCACGCCGTGAGATGGTGCGGCGCGCGATGGCAGTACGCGCCATATCGCATCGGCCGTCTCCGCTGGTGTCGGTGGCTTTGGCGGTCTCGGGGCGGCCTGCTCATGTGTCGACGGGCGCGCAGCCGCTGCGACCGGCGCGCGCGACGGCGGCGTCCGCTGGAGCGGCGACATGCTACCGGCGGGAACGTTCGCTGCAGCTTTCTGTGGTTGTGTCGGTGTCGGCGGGCGTGTTGCCTTGAGAGACGACGATGGGCTCATCGACGACGCCGGCGAAAGCGTAGTTGGCAGGTTGATCTGCATCTTTGGCTTCTTGGCCGGCCGAAGAGATGTCTGGATGCTCGCCATGCGCTTGCGCTGCGTCTCGTTCCGGTCATCGTCGGTCGAGACGAAGGCGGCGCTGGCCGGCATCGAGTCGACGTACTCGAGTAGTCGGAGCTTGATCGTCGCATAGTCGAACGTCGTTGGGTTTGGCTGGAAGAGGGACGTCAGGTTCGGGGCACAGGCGTGGGCCAGCAAGCACACTTGCAGCTTGGCGGCCAGCTGCGTCTGGTAGCGCTTGAGTACCGTGTGCGCGCTCGCCATGTCCTTGACGCCGATAAAGAGGCCCGAGACGTCGTGGAGCGACAGCAGCGCCGGCAGCAGCGCGGCAACCGCCGGCTCAAACGCGGCAAGAAAGGAGGCGGTCGCCGCCGGCCGCTGCAACTGGATGCCGAGAGTGTACTGGAAGAGGCCAAAGATATCGTAGAACGGCGGCTGGCTCTGCGCCATGATGTACTTCCAAAGGCCATGCGGCGTCTGTGGCAGTGGCGGCAGCTCTGCGGCAAGCGACGGCGATACGGCGCTCAGAAGGTAGGCGGTGGCCTGCGCCGCCATGGCGTCTTGCAGCCGCTTGAGCGCCGATGCCACGAGCTTGGACGTGAGCATGGCGACTTCGCTATGGAAGCGCTTGGTGGCGCCAGCGAGCTCTTCCTTCGAGAGGAGCTCCGTGTACACGGGCGTCGCAGCGTTGGTCGCGACACCACGGAGCCGATCGCGCTCCTCGGACGAGATGAGCTCTTCCAGGTGCGGATCTGCGTAGTTGTCCATGAGGTAGTAGTCGGCGTACATGGCGGTCGCCGGCGCCTGCAGGAAGAACGGCTTCCAGAGCAGAAAGCCATCCCACGCCTCCAGCTGCGGGCCCTCGTACGTCCCGCCGTTCTGTGTCATCATCTTCTATTTTCAACACGTAGAAAATAGTGTTGCATGGCATTAAACGTGGCAGATGCCACATGCAACGATGGGCCAACACAACAACACACGAGCCTAGCGCCTTCTATGCATAATCGCGTACGCGCTTCAGAGTCTCAAGTGCAATGCCGTCGATTTGGACTGCCTCTCGCTCGCACCGGTACGCATGGCTCTTCCAGTGTTGACTTTGTATATGTGGCATGTGCCGCAAATAATATATGACTAGAAAAACCCAAACAAGACCCATTGAAGCAATAAAGTTGACGCGACGATGGCTACGCAGCGGCCTTCCGGGCCCGCCGTAGCTTCTCCAGCGCAGCTTCAAATTCGGCGGCTGTTGCCCGCGGTGGCCCCGACGACGTCGGCCGCAACGATTCGAACGCTAGCCGGACGTCACCATGCTGCAGGTCGAGCTCCAATTGGCGGCAGCGCATCGTACGGTGGAGCTTTACATCGCCGCGGGCTTTGCAGTAGGCGCAAGCGAGATCGGGTGGCAATTCGAACGACGACCGAACGCGGTCGTAGCGTACGTCCCGGCGCAGGTCGCCGCAGTTGCGCGTGGTGTGCTTGGTCGATGTACAGTACAAGCACCCGAGGGTGGCGCGTGGTAGACGAGGACGGGCCGCCTGCTGAACAGCCTTGCGAGGCGCCGACGCACGTACAGGTGTGATAGCTTGAGGTGCTGCCGCCGGTGGTGATGGTACCAACTCGCCGGTCGGTCTCGCCTTGTAGCTGCCATGCACCGCGCCCGACCGCCGATCGTGGGCAAGGCGGCTGCAGTACGCAGCGTCGTGGCAGTCGAGGACCTCAAAGAGGCGGCAGTAGCCACACAGAAGCCACGCAGGAATGATAGCTCCGGCGCGAACGGAGCCGGCACCAAGATCCGCACGCAAGATCGCGCAGCGTTCGAGTGTGTGGCAGTACGTCGAGCAGTACGAGCAGCCGTACGTCTCGAGCGCGTGGATTTGCGGGTCGAGCTTTGGGCATGCATACGTTGGGTGCATGCACGTACTGCAGATCGCGCAGTCGCTGTCTCGGAAGCGTCGCGGTCGGCGCGCAGAGTCGTCCAAGGTCCATGCGTCGGTGGCCGCGCGTCGGCGCTTGCGGACTGGCGTGGGCGCATCGGCCATAGCTGCCACGACGCGTCGCTTGAGGCTAGCGTAGTCCAATTGAAGCTCATTCGCTTGCCACGTCTTGACCTGCGCCGCCAGAGCCGGCGGAAGCGTCTGCGCCAGCAAGACGCATTGCAGCGTGTCCCGGAGCCGCCCAAGGTCGTCGCCGCACGAGGCGAAGAGCGCATCGAGGAAGGCTGCCGATGTCACCTCAAACGCGCGAAGGTTCGGTGAGCTGGCGGAGCTCAAGTAGCGGTGCTGCAGCGCCTGCGCGAACGCGCCCACGACGTCGTGAGCGGGTTGGGCCATCATCATCAATTTCAATTGCGTCAATGGAATCCGAGTGCATTTCCAAACATGAAATAGTGTGCGCCCCCGCATTTGTGTGAATCTAGTCGTTTAGTCGAAGTCGAAGCAAGCCCTTGGACAGTCGAACGCGACATTGCGACCACGACAGCCAGCACCTACTAAACGACTAGTACACGACTCCTGACTATTGGATGGACTCTCGCCTGCCAGCAAGAACACGTTTTACTCAATGTAGGCTGCTCCCAGTACACGGCCTCGTCATCTTGGTCTGGTAATGTGACCACATCTGAATCGGTACGAGTCCAGAGTCCCCAGCAGAGTCCAGAAAATGTATGCACGACCAGTCGACTGGTTTCGTACTTCAACAACTTCAACATTGACGTTACACTAATACTTGACGACGTACACATGATCGTACCGTTTTGTGGCGAGCGCCAGCCACTACACCCGAGGGACGGAGCGCTTGGCGGGCGGCGGACTCGGCGCACTGCTGGACGCGCGTCGCTTTGCCGGCAAGGACCCCGCCGTGGTCTCCGCTTTCTTCTTCGTCAACGTCTTGTGCTGCTCTGCGAGGCGCGCCATGTCCCGAGCGGTTTGCTGCCCGTAGGTCGTCAAGCGGGGTTGCCGGGCGGGGGCCGACGCGTTGCTTGGCGCTTGCAGTGGCGCTGGCCGTCGACGCGCTGCAGCTTTGCCGACCGTTGGCGACGGCGGCGGCGATTCCGAGTCGCTCGTGTTGTCGTCGTCCAGAATCCCACAAGCGAGACGGACAGGTCGCAAGACGCTCGGCGGCGCCAAGAGCGCGATTTCCGTCGGGTCCCGCGGTGGTGGCGGCTGGCGAAAGAGCATGTGCGTATGAGACCGCGCCGAGCCGCTTGCTCTCGCCACGGGCCGCGGCGCCACGACGTCCGGCGGAAGCTCTTCCCGCGCGAGCTGCAAGAGCCCGTGGTAGTCCCACGCATTCACCGCCGCTTGCATGTCTTCACGGTTGCGCATGCGGGCCGGGTGCGCGAAAAGGAGGGTCTTGAGCTTGACAGCGATGCCAGCGCGATACGCCTCGGGCGTCAAAGGCGTGGCGGCGTCAATGGCCAAGAGGCCATCCAGAACCGCGCCGACGGCCGTGTCGAAGGCGTCGGGAGCCGGTACCGATGCCGTCGCCGTCGAACCCACGAGCGCGTGGAAGGCCTCACAGAGCTGCAACGGCGACGTCGCAGTCAGCCCGAGCAGCTTTTGCCACAGGTTGAATGGGTCCAACACGTCGAGGCCGTCACCGCGCAGGACGCGCTGCACGGCCTTGGGCAGGCTCATGATAAGCCGTATGGACGCGAAGATGCGCCCCTTGACGCTGCTGCCCGCCGGGACCTCGGCTGCGGCGTCCGCCTGCTGGTCGTCGGTCAGGGCCACCGCCGGGTCGTCGTGCCCGCGGGTGAGGTAGTAGTGCATCAGCTCTGGCGCCGACTCGAGAAAGCTCGCGGACCATGTGTCGAAGGCCTCCAAGTCCTGCAGCTCCGGGGCGTCGGCGTACCGGTACGTGGCTGCCATCGTTGGCCGTGTGTGGTGTGCTTCTCAAAATAACTTATGATCGGCGGCTTGGGCCTTTTTAACAAATGTACACTATTTACGTCGTTCGGTCAACGCCAATTTGCGTCGACGAGGATGTGCTTCAGGCCAAAAGCCCAACGACCGTTGCCGTCGGCTGAATGAAGGGCCTGGCAAGACCTGCAAGCTGTGTGCGCCACTGAATGCATTGCCTTTCGGCCGCTTGCATTGATTTCACTCGGTCTCGGTGACCCTGGCAGCATCTGCAGTAACCTCCATCGTATGCGCTTTCAAGCTGCTGTTCCCACAGAGGAATGGCCCATTAATTGCGTCTGTCTTGCAAGGTCGCGAGATGTGGCTACACACTGAATGCAGATCCTCGTATTGTTGCGAGCAAGGGTACACGGTGCATGATCGAGACCCCGGTGTCCGTGCCGTTGCTGTCACGCTTCGCGTCGCGTGGGGCAGCTTGAAGCTGGCGGCTGGGATCGCGAGCTCCCCAAATGGCGAGTCGTCGAGTCGCAGTTTTCTGTCTCCTGGGCTCGGTCGAGCTGCTGCCGAAGAGCAACGAGGCCAAGGCAGCGCAGCGAATGACCTTCGGACGGATCGCCGTACTACCGGTACCGCCGTCGATCGCACAGAGATGCCGGTGGCAAGGCAGTGCTGCGGCGAACTGCGACCGCCACGCGCACGACACATCTGTCTTTCGCACACGGTTCCTCTTCCTTCCTTGCTTGCCCCGCTTCAATCGAGCGGTCGTTGAGTCGCAACCGGCGACAACTCACAACGGCCAAGTCGATGGATCCCCGATTCGCGGCGCCCGATTGGCCCGCGAAAAACCGTCTTTGCATGCTGATTGGCTCGTTCTAAATCAAGCGTTTGCCACGGTGGCGCCAACTCCGCAGATTCTGTTTCGTCCTGCGATGTTCACTGCTCCGCGCTTGAACCGTCTCGACGAGCTATCGACGTGGCAGCCGGCGTTTCTCGCGGCCACGGACGCTGCGATGACCGCCTACTACTTGCGCCCCAACTATGAGGACGCCACCATTGTGGATTCGATTGGCCCGGCGCGGTTGCACGTACTCCAAACCACCGTCAACGCCGCGGTGCCCGAGGTCCCCGACGACCTGACGCCAGCTCAGCGCGACGGCGCCGAGATCATGCGGAAGCGCCATCTCGACGCGCAGCTCAAGGACGCCATTGCCTCGGAATGTGGCGCGATTCGGTCGCAGAAAGTGCAGCTCGCGTGCGAGCACCTCCTCTCGGCCATCGTCCCGTCGCTGCATCATCATGTAGCGCCAACCACGGACCCGTACCGGATGTGGCAGCGACTGACGGCCGCGGCGTCCAGCGACGTGAGCGCGCTAACCGTGGCCTACGCCAAGGTGACGGACACCCGCTTCCAGGCTAAACGACCCAGCTACGAGGCACCAGGCACGTTCTTCCAGCGCTTCGACGCTGTCGTGGACCCATTCTTGGAGCAGCTTTTGACGCCACCCGCCGACGTCGACGTGGCAGCGTACCGGGCGGCGTTGACGGCCAAGCTCAAGTGTGTCTTGCTGGCGCACGCGACAGGCCCCGCATGACGCGAGTGTGCTCTCC